TTTTTATTTATTTATAAATTATTAATTTTTGTGTAACTGTTTTACTATCTTGTATATTTAAAATATAATTGGAATTTATTTTGTAGTAAACAATATTATTGTTATTATTATATGTATGTGTGTATTAATAATTTATTTTTCTATTTTTTTATTTTTTTTTATTGTAGTCTATGGGCACCGGAAGTTTAAATGAAATTGTTAGTAGAAAGTTAAGTGGCAAGAAAACTGAGTATTCTGAAGAGTTAAAAAAATTTGCAGTTACATTGCAGTATTATTCTACAAAGGCTTATAATTTTGTGAGAAAACAATTTTCTGATATGCTGCCCCATCCTAGAACTATTTCTAAATGGTATCAAGGTATAAATGGTGAACCCGGTTTTACTAAAGAATCGTTTCAAACTCTCAAAAAAAAGGTCAAAGAAAATAGTATTGTTATTTGTAATTTAGTTGTAGACGAAATGTCCATTAAAGATAAGGTAGAATTTGATGGAAAACAATTTCATGGACTAGTCGATATGGGTTCTGGTGTGATAATAGATGGTGATATTGTTGACCATGCAACTAATGCACTTGTATTTTTAGTAGTAGGTGTAAATGGACACTGGAAATTACCTGTAGGTTTTTTTTTGATTAAAGGCTTAAATTCTGCTGAAAGAGCAAATTTGATGAAAAAATGTTTAGATCTTCTTTATGACACCGGTGTTAAAATTCATTCATTGACATTTGATGGGGCTCAATGCAATTTAAGTATGTGTACACAATTGGGGGCAAATTTAAAACTCAATAACCCACATTTTTCTTTCCCTCACACAACTTCAGGTGAACCTATATATTTATTTTATGATCCATGTCATATGCTGAAACTTGTTCGCAACACTTTAGGTGATAAACGCATTTTGATAAATAGTCAAGGTGAAAAGATTGAGTGGGAATACATAAAAAAATTATACTTAAAAGAAAAAAAGGAAGGTCTCAAAGTTGCTACTAAGTTAACTCAAAAACATGTATACTATTTCAATGAAAAAATGTGTGTCAGGCTTGCAAGCCAAGTATTCAGCAATAGTGTAAGTAAGGCACTTATCTTTTGCCAAAATCTTGATAGGGATTTTGAACATTCTTTAGCCACTGCTGAATTTTGTTTGTTAATAAATAATGCATTTGATATTTTAAATTGCCGTTCAAAATTTTCCAAATCACAATACAATTTAGCACTAAGCTCAAATACTTTAGATAAATATGCATATTTTATTAGTCAATTTGAAACCTATATTTATGGTCTACAATTAACAGATGGTACTAAAATTGTGGATTCTCTTAGGAAAACTGGTTTTATAGGTCTTGTCTGGGGTCTAAAAAATTTAATTAACTATTATAAAATTCTTAACCAAAATTATAACATTGAGTATGTTTTATCTTATAAAATTTCACAAGACCATCTGGAAACCTTTTTTAGCTCAATAAGATCAAGGGGTGGCTATAATAATAATCCCTCTGCAAAAGAATTCAAGGTTTCCTATAAAAAATTACTTGTCCATCACCATGTTAGTGGTTCCCAATACGGAAATTGTCTTCCTGAGTCTATGTTAAGTACAAAATTAATTAATACACCAGATTCAATAATAATAGATTCAGAGTTAAATAATGAAATACAAACCGATTCAAATGATGATTTTCAAAATGACCATGATTATTTGGAATCATATTTTAAAGTATCAGCTTTTGTTGATAATATTACAGAATACATATCTGGATTTGTAGCCAGGAAAGCGTCAAAACTAATAAATTGTAATATGTGTAAAGAGTTTTTAGTTGTTAACCAAACAAACAATTTGTTAATAAATATAAAAGATGTCAATAATGCATTAACTAAGCCAAGTAAGGATGTATTCTATATATGTAGTGTGTCTGAAAAATGGATAAGGTGCACAGAACTAAATGATATGTATGAAAAAAGTTTTGTTAATAAATTGTACATAAAAATAAAAAGAGAAGTCTTCACAACTGTGTTTCAAACTAGTAGTATGAACAATCACATTTTTGGCCAAACATTATTTACTAATCATAGGGACCAATTAGTAACAATAATCATTAATTCCTATATTACATTAAGATTAAAAAGCATAGCTAAACAAATTGAAAAACCAAAACTTAGCATTAGAAAAAAGTTTACTAAACTAATAACATTAACAAATGATTAAAAATAAAATTGGAAATGAGGAGGTACCTATATAATAGTTAAATACTATGTGCAATGATATAATATTAATAAGTGTTAAAATTGTGTATTATTTATAAGATTTTCTTTTTATTGTATTCAAAACAGATATAAATTAATTTTGTTATTCTTTTTAATTGTAATCTTTGATCATATGAATAAAATTTTAATATACTGTTATCACATATTTTAATAATTATTAATTATTCCGTACTCAAGAATCGATATTATAGTGTAGCTATAACATATATTATATATTTATATGTTATAAGTACATAATATTATAGTATAATATTGTATATTATTACAGTGTACAATAATTGTAAATATACACGCCTGCTGTCAAGACGGGCTACATCACTGCGACATGTTTCCATGCTTCTCATAATGCTAGCATTATAGGCAATTCATGTCTATTAGTATAAGGTCTATGAAAAAAACGCACAAAAAAATAGATAATTTATGATAATGTACACCAAGCTTGTTATCATTGATTTTATCATTGATTTTTCATAATAAACATTATAAAATAATACTTAAGTATATTTTTTTAATTTCATATACACTTATTTAATTTTTTCCATATAACAACATAAAGTTTATAGAAATAAGCTCTAGTTTATTTCGTCATATTTAGCTGGATACAAATGATACATTTAATACTTAATCTTTTTTCTATTCAAATTTCACAACAATAGAGCATCAGAACATTCAGAAGGAAACTATTAAATACATAGGTATTGTAGTCCTATATTGTTACACGTAATATAGTATTAATCATCGGATCATCTAAATCAGCCAACTAAATTAAAACATTAGATAAATGGACTTGTACAGTAAATCAGATATAGAATTTTACAGGTAGTGATGATTTCTCTATTGATATTTATTTATAATAAGTATTTATATATAAGGTTATGTACAAAACATGTGAACATGTATGAAATATGTATGGACATGTAAACATGCACTCGACCACTTTTTCCCTTGTACAATACATTTATTCAAATTTTGATTTTTGGAATTTTTGAGTAGCTACTGGGGCTACTTAGGTACCTTGTACCTAGTTACTTAAATACCAGTTTCTCAAATAATTAGGTTTTTATACCATTTAAATATTGTGCTGTGACGATACGGACTTTTTCATTTGAGAAATACCTTTTTTTATGTTAACTATCAAGCACATGATTTGTTTATAAATGTTGATGTATATAAATACAAATCCAATCAAATAGGTGGTTTCTAAATTATTATGCACTTTAAAACCTAAGAATAAAAGTCCATTTTTGGGTTATTGATATTAAACATTTTAGTATGTTAATTATTTGAGACTATTATTGGTATCCGACATCTATTACTTAACATTTAATAACGCAGAAACTCATTTAGATTTATATAAGTAAGTAGTTATAGCTACTATATACAATATACATCAAGTTATCAATTTTTTTTTATAAATACATGTACTTAACATTAAGTTAACAGTAAAATGAGATAATCTCATTTTAATATATGTAGGTACTTAAACATTTCAGAAATTTCAATTTGAATAAATAAATTAGGTGGATACAGGTATCAAAGGATAAAAGGAGGATGAGCATGTTTGGTGATGAATCAAACTGTATAGTGACAGAAATACTCACCTCACTATCGGCTCCAAAAAACGGATATGGGCCAGCACAAGCTCCGATGATGACCAGAGGATCAGACCCAGTAATCTGTTTTAAATCTTTGACGTTATACAATTTTTCTCGCTTTATCGAAGGTATCAAATTGGTGACATCGCTGATGTCAAAAACGTTTTCGTCGCCACATAGTCCTACACAATAATAAAATATATCCCTACACAATATACCAAACGGCTAATACACATATTAATATATTATAGGTATAAGTAAGTAAATACTTGATGCTCACCTTCGGAGGTCAAGTTAAACGGCGATTTGGTTAAATCTGGACATTGAACTACTTCTGCACTTACATTTTCAAAGTTTTCTAATAATTTGGGTAATATGGCTGAAATCAGCGTATAATTTTGAATTTTGAATTATTAATAGCATGATTCTATAAGTATACTTATGTTTATTCATAGTTTCAAAAAACCTAAAATCGTAGCAACAAAATAACTGAAACTGTTATTCTTTATTTTTAAATACCTACATTTTTCAAATTTGAACTTACAATGCCTGAAAAAAATAACTTTTGTAATATATGTTTCTGATACAGTATGAACTAATTATGAGAATCCTTGTCTTAAATTGTTAATCCTTAGCTAAGAATGTTTCATTATTTTTGAAATTGTCGACATTTTGATAAATTTTGCAGCATTTGAGATTCAATTACATGTAAAAAAACATACTAATGGATCTTTAATATATGTCAACTAATATTATAACAATTTATAAAGAACCTTGTATTAAATTTTCAAGCTTTTTGATCCAACCAATACAATTTAATTGTCATCCATAGAAGATAGTCTATAGAAAATTCAAAATTTTAAAGTATCAAAATATTTTGAAAATTTGATCATGTATGACAAAAATGATAAAATACACATTTGATGAAAATGTCAAGTACCTACTGTAAATAGTTTTTGAAATGTTGAATAATATCAAAAAAAGATGTCTGAGAATTATTTTATTTACTGGTGAATATCCAATGTTTAACTTCAAACGCTCGTAAGAAACTTATTTGACTTTCCGGTAATTTTTTTTTTGTAAATATAGGAAAACGTAAGGGGAATCTTATATAAACATTTTAAATCATGGATATACATAGAATTTATTTTTTTATATTCCGATAAGGTAATCGTTTGTTTCACAAGAAATACCGTTTGGGCGATTATCCTAGTATATGAATAGGTTTGTAGGAAATTAAATTATGTGTTGAAAAAATAAAGTCACATACAAAATACACAGAAGAAATAATTAATAATGAACCCTATTTTTAAAAACGTTCTCATCAGTCATATGGATTTTACCTAACGCAATGTAGTCATCCAAACAACCATCGCCCATAAAATTTTTTATTGAATAAATAAAATCATATATAATAAAGATATAGATAGGTATAATTTTTCATTTCGAAAATCTGCTCAGTGACTACCCTTGCAGTATTATTATCAGTTCTGGTAGATATTTACAAAACTTGAATATTAAAAAGAAAATGAAATAATAATTAATAACTAATAAGCAATTATTGAAATACTATATATATATGTACCTTCAACGATGCATCTCAAAGGCGGTGTGTTTAGTTTGATGCGCAGTATGGGCAAATTGTTCATGTCCAGGGTACTTGGAAAAGTGAGACTTTCGGTGGCCATTTCGGAAAAATTTGTATTAATTTTTTTTAATCAAATAAAAATAAACAGATAATTATGATAATTCACTATTATAGTACCTACAATGTGGACATGAAATTCGACAATTGATTAAATACAATATAGCAGTGGTTCTCAATTTTTTTTGGTTCACGGCACACTATTATACATCATAGTTTTCACTGCACACTCACACACTTGACAACTACAACAGCTTCGGCAACTTCGCTGAAGGCATTAGTTATCGCCTCGCGCCTCTTCATGGACGGATAGGTATTTTGTTTACCGGGATATAATAATTATTAGGGTCAGATTAACTTAGAGCCTATATATTGTATATAAAACAAATTTAACTTCCTTTGAGTTGTATCGTTTTCACATTTACTTAATAAAATCTTGATCCATTTTTTTTCTCTTTGAAGCCCCACTTTCGAAATTTTGTTTAGACATAATTAATAATTATCATATATATAATTTAATAAATCAAAACACTATTACCAAAAATCCACAGTCACAATAGCCTATAGGAAAAATAAAATTAAAATAATAACACCTGATAAAGTATTAAATAATACTATAGGGCATAGAGTAAGAATAAGTAAATTAAATTACTGTACTTGCTATTGTTGCTTACCTACTTGATAGTTTATAGCTTTATACTGTTTTACACTGTTTATTAATGTTGATGTAACTATGTAAGAGAAAATGATATTCTAGACATTCACATCAAATACGCATTGATTAAAAATAGAACAAATCGAATTTATTACGATACAAATATATGTATATGGACGTAGATAGAAGATATGTCATACTTAGCGGTTACTATTCGAAAAATTAATTATTATTATTATAGTTGTTTATTTTTGTTATTCGAACATCGATTATGTATATATTATTTATATTTACATTTTAAACATAATTTAGTTTTAGGCGTTTTACCACAATAGTACATAGAACAAAATAGATAATATGTATTTATACGGGTATCGACTAGTTTATACAGAGGCCCCCTAGGCCCTAATGAAGTTTACAAATATTACAAACACGCATTAAGGGCATTTTTTTTTTAATTTTTAGAGATGGGGGCGCCAGAGTATAATATTGGTGGGGGCCTATCGGAAAAATGCCGATTTCCCGATGAGCCTATCCGCCCATACACGTATGACATTTCTCGGGGCACAGTAGTGTGCCACGGTACACCGGTTGAGAACCACTTCAATATAGTAACAACCTTCAATCGAAGCTGACGTACTTCATAGCGGCGTGTCTCTATCATATCTTTGTTCGTGTGTCATTGTCATATAGATTATGACTTTGGATTACTCGATCGAACTAACGGCTGACACGTGGGCCCATTTATTACCTTGTCCTAATGTCTTGTCTACCACGGGCACTGATATAGATCCAGTGCTACGGTAGTGGCACCAAGCTAAGTAAAAAAAAAATAAGCGGAACCATCATGACCGTAGTACATTACACGAGCCAGAGTTTGCTCATTGAATGTGTATTGTGTGTAAATTTACCCATTTTCTTTAGCCAGGCCTACAGATCTAATGAATGGACTGATAGGTCCGTTTGTGGTATTAATATAGATCGGACATGATATGCAGTGTATACCTTTGTCATTTTTTAAATAATTGATTCAATAATACCGAATTTATTACCAAAAAATTCAAGTATTTTTCAGAAGATATTGTGCTTGACCGCTTTTAGTTATAACAGTAACGTTTCACGTAGCAGAGCCAGAGACGTCAATATACAATATATATGACAGACATGTTTAGAATTAATTATACCTATTACCTACCTATAACAAATATCACAAATCACAATGTAACGAATAATAATATAAAATATACATCTATTTTAGTACAATGACGTTGATATAAAAGTTCAACAATAATATACAAGTAATGAGCAGTGTACCTTCTGAACTATTTCATATTTGTTGAGAACAAAACAGTTTTAGTCCTATCTTCTTCAGAGTTATAGCAGGTATCAATGTAATATTATTATTATTACTGTTATTATTGTGTATGATATTTAAAATTAATATGCTAATCGGTCTTTATTATATTTCTAGAACTGTGGAAAAAAAGTACACAGAGTGATTTGAGATCACCCACAAAAAAAATTCTACAGCAACGTTTAAGAGACGAAACATCAAAATTAAATAGTTTAAAAGTCTGATAGTTACACAATTTAAAAAAAAAAGTTCCTTCGTTTGATGAAATTACTGCTGAACTAGAATAGAAGTTTAATGATATACCTACATACCCACAGAAGAAATATATGAGGTAAATACAATTATTTTGCACTTTTGTATAAATAATAAATATACTGTTATAAAATATGTGTGTTAATTTTTTCTTTTTAAATTACAATTTATCCATAGGCTTTTCTAGGTGATTTAAATTTATATTGTTAAATTTGATCTCTTTCCATATCATTTTATCATATCGTATGCATTATATATAATCACTGTAATACAATAAGACGTAATGACTAATTATTACTACATTCAATATGTTAAAGAAATAAAAAATTGAAATAAATTGGGGAATTGAGAATGAAAATACTAATAGTCATAATTCATAACTACACATTCACCGTACGTAAAAATGAAATTATTTGCCCTTCTGTGGAGGGGAAGCGAAATTCGGGACGGCTCGCTTTTTTATCATTGCGAGAATGGTGAGTCTGCGCTCCAGTATATAATATTATCTATCTCAGTGACCATAGGAAACTTTTTGTGAATTACTTATCGTCTCGAGGTCAAGTAACCACCGTCTTATACCGTACCTTTTGTTGATAGTGTACGTATGTGAGGTTGCATCCTGTTTATTTTTCGGCGTTTCCAATTCACTTACTCGTGGACTTGGTTGCCTTCCCCTCGTTGGACACGGCATACACCTTATATGTGAAATAACTATTTGTCTGCACTTCTCTTATGCCCAGCACCTGTGCCCATTGTCACCATACCCTGTCCAGAAGCACAAAGTCTGCAACCCGTTCCACTTGTTGGTGGTCTTTTCATTCGAACTATAGCACGTTGTCCAGATCGCCTTCAACTTATTTACCTAAAATACATTTAATGTGCTACTTGTGTAGTCGGCCCAAGTCCTCTGCCAGGGCATCTACCTAACCTACCGCTTCCCTCACAAATGCTGATATTATGGTTACAATCTCAAGCCTCCAGAACTCGCAAGCTGATATCATTAGCTTACACAATAAATTGTGAAAATCGCCACCTAAAGAATTCCTAGAGCCCTATACAATCTTGGTGACTCTCGTCTTTAATCTAATTTAAGACAACTCCTTGCTTCGTGAAAAGGTATCTGATTTTAGGTTAAGAGTCGACTATATTGAAATCGGCACAAATGCCAGAGCCCTTAAATCTCAGATTATAACTGTGACTTCCAATGGTGAGCGTTGCGCAAATAATGTCGTTATTCGTGTTCTACTTGTGTGTGGTTCCGCTATCCCGGCTGATAGAATTTCTGCTGATCAAATCAAATTATTTGAGCTTTTTTCATCAGTGAATGTCTCCCTGCCTGATTATTCTAAATTACTAAGGGTGGATTGGGTAGCTTCCAGAACCTGTTCCACCCAAGTTATTTAAACTTAAGTGAAGATGCCAGTCGCGTACTGCAAGCTGTTCAATGTGCCGAAAAGGTTGACTTGTTGCCCCAGCACAAATAAAACTAAGTGGGAACGTGACCTGTTCCATGCTGCCTATGATGACTTGGAACGCAGACGAGCTGATGGAGAATCCGATCTCATAGTTGTACACTTGCACACATTAATGGGATTCTGATGGCCACTAAACGTCCATCAAAAATCTAGGCCAATCCACCATCCCCCCTGCCCTTCAAATCTCATAATCTACCGCCATTACAGTTCTCTGTAGCCCTTACCATTCAGAACTAGAAATAGTCTATCATTTATTTAATGAGGTTCCAACAATCGATGTTTCTCATAATAATTATTAATCATAACTTTCACAAGACCCAGAAATATACGGCGAGACTATACAATTACTAGACTTTGATTCAGACGATTCAATTACTTGCGCCTTATATGATGCTCTTCACTACTGTACCCCGCACTTCGTCCCTATTTCAAAGTATGTGAAACCTAAATTCCAGCCGGGTTTATACTAAAACTTAAAGCAATTGTTCACGATAAAAGGCGAGCTCATACTCTTTTCAAACCGTCTAATCCTCTTCATTGAACTCAGTTCTCTAATCTCCGTACCCAAGATAAGCCTGGGTCCAAACAGTGTCTTAAATATATATTATTTATACAGTGGCTGGCTTGACAAATAACCTCAGCTAATTTTAGAAATTCGTTAATGACTATAGTTCTGATATTCCTAACATGGTTCACTTGGATAAATTTTCTGGTTCTATTAAAATATCAGATATATCCCCGCCTCCCACACGAAAAAATCAATTGACGGCCACTGATAAATGACTATGTGTACCTAGAGATGACGTGTCCAGGTTAAATATCTCAAAAATGTACCTAATACAAGGTTCCTCATAAGAGATCGTCTTCTGTATGGTATGATTTATCATTGAATTCAAATATAATGCATACAGGAATATAGTAAATGTTAAATAACTTACTTCATGACAGCTGACGAAGTACATTCGATACGTACTGTACAGTAGATCGATTACTTAGATCCTTTTTTAATATTGTTACTATTTTTTTTTTTTTTTAATTTTAATTTGCATTTTATTTTAAAATAATTATAGCAAAGCGATTACAAAAATTGTTACTATAACAAAATATGTTTTATAATTTTTAATTTTCTATTCTATTGTGCAATAAGTAATTGTATATGCTTTAAATTTGGGTAAAATTATTATCGGTGTGAAAGGTCTTAGGTTTAACTACTATTATTAATAATGAATAACTTATATTTTGTACTCCCAAACATTCATAATATCTAAATAATAGTTTGAGAAAAAGTTATCTCTGCATTACACCAAACTCAGGAGTCAGAAGTAATAGCAACACTTAAAAATTTTTATACTATAGATGAAAAATTAAAATAATTAAAAAAAAGTATACAATAGAAACTTCTAATTCCTTTCACAATACCGGATTAAATTACAAATAGCTTGTACTTTTAATAGTTAAACAACATGTATTAGTGTGATGGTAGAATAATAATATTATTAGGAAAACAGTCTTTTATAAGCAAGTGATTTGTTTTGGAACCATCACTATGCAACTACATCATATAGGTATTATACTATAATTTAACACCAAATTGTTCTAAATTGTTTTCGATGAATTTAAAATCTAACAAAAATAAATATTAATCTTTTATATTTCATTAGGTTAAGACTAAAAAGATTATAATTCTAACAGTAAAACAATTATGACATATATTTATATATTATATATTTTTTACTAAAACATTAAAAAGAAACTTTATTGCCATCTAAATGTTCTTTTTTTACCATGCATGTATTGGTATTAAAATATATATATATTATAAATATAAAACATACCTCTGATTAAAATGTTGGTAAATTATTTAATATTTATTGAAGCAAGATAGTAGAAATACAATTTATACCTAATGTCATAATTCTTGGGTAAATATTGACTATTACAATTTATTAATAAAATAATATTGTAATAAATGTTGCAATTTTATTGTGAAAAAAGTAACAAAATATGAATAATGAATATTAAATGTAGGTACAATAAAATCATATTTACATTTATTTAATTTATTATTAAATAAAATATTTTTAAATTAACAACATGTAATACCATAGACTTAGATAATATATTGCACTTGACACAAATAAAATGTATTTCTGTAAATATTTAAAGTTTAAAAAAAAAATTTACATTCTTTTAGATGACTGTTTTTTTATACACGTAACTTCAATAAAAATAAGCTGCTGTAAGCAATTATATTTTTCTTTATTATTCCATATAATTTTTTATTCAAATTTATAAATTCATTTTATAGCAATACAAAATTATGATTAATACATTTATTATTTATCATCACATTTCTAACAAAAAAAAATATTTTTACACAGGCACTTTTTTAAATTTTCCTTCTCCGAAAAGCCACAAGCATAATCGGTCCACTATATAAGAACCAAAGTAATCTAACATAAGTACACTAATTAAAATAACTCGAAATTCATAGGGAAACTGAACAATTTCAAATTGCTCATTAAGTCCTTGCAAAGTACCCATACTTAAAAACAATATTACCATAATTGTCCCAAGTGTACTGTATAGTAATGGCTTATTTTCTATTAAATTTTCCATGAACGGTCGTCCTCGATAATTGACTGAAAAGGTACAAATTTGCAATGCCATGGAAATAATAAATACTGCACTGTTCACCACATTAGGTTTAAATTCGTCTACATCCGAATCTGCAGAATCCAAATTTGTACCATTGGATAATAAACTGTCATTTGAAAACGGCAAAGTGGTATTTACGGAATCATTTTCAGCATATACACCAGCTTCTTGGACTAAGAATACTAAACTACAAAAATGTATAATAAATTGTAATAATACAGTTGAAATTGTGTAGATGTTGAATATATTTGGCAGCGGTCTCTGCTTGGATAAAACTTTTAAAGGTCTTGACCGTGAAATAAATAAAAATGAAGCTGCTAACAACAATCCTTGCAGTGTAGCTTGAGAATCACTAAATTTTATACCCTTGACATAAAGTACAGACTGGCTATAAGCAGCAATAAGAGCATTCAGTGCTAATATTTTAAACATCTGAAGTGTAGTAACTAATGTACAACGCCCTTGTTTAATCACATGACATACACAAGTTACAGATGAAAATTTACTTGTAAAAGGAGCAGCAATACTAGCATCCCCTGACTTCACCACGGTCACAGATTCTTCATCCATTTCTTTCATTAATCTTTTCATTTGATCACCAACATTTTCTCCTGGTTTTCTTGATTTATTGGCAAACATATCTTTTTTTAATCTTATCTTTTCTTTACCTCTAGCAAGTATAGCGATACCAACATGTGCATGTTTCAAGGCTCCAACATCATTAGTACCGTCTCCACACATTAAAGTGGAATAACCTAATTCTTTTAATGTTACTACAATAAATTCTTTCTCTTTGGGAGCCACTCTAGCAAAAACACAGACATGTGGTAAAATTTTTTTTAATACATCTTTATGATTTTGATTCAGGAAAGATAATCCGTCTCCTGTCAAACATAAATCATATGAATCAACTAATTCTTTAATACTTCCATTTAATGGGACTTGAATTTTATAACTATCACTAATCCAACACCACGTATTGTTGGTTTCTGATAGTGTTAATATGATACGACTTGAAGATCTTGTGAAATTTAATTCATTAGCTACATAACATGCAGTCAATGCATTATCTCCAGTTATCATAGTTACCATATGGGACGAGTTCAAAAGTTCTTTAATAACATTTTCTGAATCTTGTTTCAATGGACACGAAACTACTACAAATCCGACAAAATTTAAATCACATTCTAAGTCTTCTCTCTTTAAATTTTTCAAATCATTTGGAATGGCAGTCATTTCTTTTCTAGCGAGCGCTAATACTCTAGCTCCTCGACCAGCTAGTTCGAGATATGTACTATCATAATTATTAGGAATATTTAATAACATTGACCTCAGCACTTCGGGGGCACCCTTGACACTTGCAATATGTATGATTTTATTTGATGTCTTTGCACATTTATAAGCTGCTAAGACAGACATTCTCTTTAAAGACGAAGAAAAATAAAATCTATTTAATATTTTCAATGGTGATATTTTTGACTTCTTTGGTACAATAAAATCATTTTTGGTTAAAATCCAATTTATTGCGTTTAAAGAGGCTTTTTCAACAGGATCACCTACTAATGTATCTTCCAGTTGGACCAATGAGTGACAAGATGCTAAAACTTGAATAGTATGTTCAGGGGCTTCATTCATTGGAATCATATCTTTTTCAACACCAGCTATACCTTCAACGATTAAAGCATCTTTGGTTAAAGTACCAGTTTTATCGAAACAGCATATTTCTACTTTGCCAGCAAATGGAATTCTAAAAGGCTCTGTACAATATATTCCAAGTTTGGATAAGGACAAAATTGATGAATTCACAGCCAATGATAATTCAACAGGCAGTTCTGGAGGTATAACAGAAGTGAGAATAAGTGTACATTCGAGGAATAATTTATAACGACTTCTATTTGGATCCTCAGTGCCTTTAATCCACAAATAATAAGCTGCAGCAATTGCAAAAATTAACAAAAATAAAATAAATGCCAACGTTTCCATATTATTTGCAGTGACATGCTTGACTCCAAACAATATCGTTTGAAGCAGATTACCTTGTGATGTGTTAAAACCTGTTCGTAGTACATAAGCAATACAGCCATTATCTGGAGGGGCACGCACGCTTGATGTTACTTTCATAGGAGAAGTATGCTGAACTACTTTTGTACCACTAAATAAAATATGTAATTTCTTATCAGATTCAAAATCTAAATTTCTTGTATGGTCGGCAATATTTTCAATAGATTCTTTCATCTGGGGAATAGATTCACCAGTCAGTAAGCTTTCATCAACGATACATGAACCTCTTAAGAGTAATAAATCGCAAGGAACAGTTTGGTCGTTATTGGTTCTCGTAATAGATACAATATCACCAGGTGTAAGTTCATCACTTAACAAAGACTGCCATTTTTTATTGCGATACACATGCAAATGAATAGGTTTATTACCCATATTCCTGATTTCTTCCATGTTACGTAACTGTTGCTTGACTAAGGTACATTCAAAAAGTACCAGCATTGCTAAAGTAAATAAAGAATAATACCAATACTTATCAAAGCACCACAAAGCAATACAAAATACTTGAAATACAAAAAAAGGAGCTGTTGCCCTTTCGATAAACAAATCATTAAACTTAGGTAATTGAATATTAAGGCGATTTCGACCATACAATTGTACAGCTCTAGTTAATTGTTCATCGCTATTGTAGCCTTTACAATTTCCATATTGTTCTATCGTATTAGCAATTGGAAATTCTAAAGAGTGAAAACATTTCTTGTCATCATTCCATATATATTTGATTTCCTGGTACCTAAACCATGTAACAGTCTTCAGGTCTTGGTCTTGGAATGTATTTAACATCACTAATTCGGTGAATCCATTATTCGGAGTTGGTAATACTTTAACCAAGACAGCTCCTTTTGGGGAAGTGACACGTCGACACGATAAAAGACATCTAAATGATACTGACCAATAACAGCTTAGTGAACACAGTATTTGGGCGACGCCGATGGCAAAAATACCAGCGAAAAAGAAATCTATTAGATTTTCGGTGAAATAACAAGCAGACGACCACGAGATGTATAAGATTACAAACGGAAAGATGGCTCCATGAAACGCGACAGGACGGGGCACGTATAAAGACACCGAGTCAATCAGATTGTCGATAGCCATTGTCACGGTGTTGGAATTGAAAAAAAAATAAAACAAAACAATTAACAGATAACTATTGATACTGACTAGCAAATAACAACGGTACCTTGGACGCGTTGGAACCGGGGAGGGTGGTTCACGTCCAAAGTGCCAAAGTGACAGCACGGTTGGCCATCGTCGTGCGGCGGGAGATCGTTAGAACGAGGACCACGTCAGGTGGGCAATAGGTGCAAAGTAGTTGGCGACCGGAAATTACGTACTGAATGCTGATGATATCGACGAAAAGGCGCACTGATGTTCGACCGGTGACGGTGACGTATTGTGGTCGTTGGTTCGTCTTTATCGGGAACGCTTCACACCGAGACCGGACCGGCAACAAGTCGGTAGTGCATCAGTGAACCAGCAGTCGTGAACCGTCAACATTGTTTAATATTTATTTTGCAGACAATACATTATGTAGCTAATTTGATTTGGTAATTAACGAAAAATCGATCATCAAAACACTTGGCGAGCGGTAGAGAATATTAACGAGAGAACGAAATAAATAATAACTATTGCCATGTACCATTATCTTTATCTATAAATTATATTCCTGCTTACGCTGCAGATAAGTGATAGCGGAAAGGGAGAGATGTTTAAGAACATGCCAGTGCGGCCAACTACGAAGCATGACCAACAACCCATGGGCGTATTGAATTATGATAATATCATATAATATAATGAAGACAGACGTACCTATTCGTATTGTATTATAAAAATGTTCCATAACGACAAACTTGTTGGGTAAGGGTAACACGGTAATGCATTGAACTTGAGCCTCTCTACATTGAACTATATTATTAAAACGACTACAATAATTATTTTATTATATAGTAAAGTTGAATGGGATTATGACATATTAATAAATTATAATGGTCTGGGCGTCTGGCTCAGGGTGGAGATGTTGACATCTATAATCCAATCGTGGTCTGCACTCTGCAGGGTGCCGGCTGTATCACTTAGAGGTTACTCTACGGCCTACGCCGTATAATTCTATCCTATTTCCTATCATAAATTATTGTTTTCACTGTTTCGTGCATTTATTTTACAACTACAAGACGGTTGCACTGTCTTGCGGTACGCCGACGCCGATTGGTCGATATTCGATTTGACATTTTGACATGAGTTTAACGGTTTTAAGTTGTAGTCCCGTGTTTCCGACAATCCCTGGACCCGTCGGATGCAATGAAATGCGAATGAATAGCGAATCGTGGTTCGTGAGTCCTGATCTCTATTGTTTATTATATTTTATTACTTGATATTCAAATATTTATTGTTTACACACAATTTCACTGTTTCACTTTAACGCTCCTATTATTTACTGTGATATATTACCTATTCTTATTTCTTGAATATTTTAAATTAATTATTAATTATTACCATCGTATTACCAGTATTATTATAATGTATACTAATACTGGTTGCGATTGATTTTGTATGTTACATTCTGTGGTTTTCGTTACTATTTTTATTTTTTACAGCTATTCTAATATCTTGCTTGTGAATTTATTTTTCAATAATTTTGTATTTTGATAAATTACCCACTCTTCTGAACACAAGTGTCACACTTCGGGTGCTATCTACATAGACGTAATGAAGAACAACAATATTATTATAACTCAATACACGCTATAATAGGTACCTAATCATATTTATACTTATATGTTGTAGGTAGCTCGTTCACTGTTATAACATTGCAATATCGCACTAGACACCTACTATGGCTACCAAAAAGTAAGTTTTTAACTTAACCTATTTTGAAACTAAGAAATTATATTTGCCTTTTTAATACAAATTATTATTTACATTTCTATAATTCATACTATCATACTATTTCTCAAACAAATCGTTTATGTTACAATTACACCATAATTCTCGCCATTAATTTAGAAGAAACAATTGTACTTGCCTTTCTTTATCACTTGACTTGTACTATGTCCAAACAATAATCGTAGGCTACTGGTTTCAACGATGTATTGCATAAAAGTACCTTCCTATTGTTAACTATAATTTTTAGAATAACTTTTATTTAGTCATCATTTTTAAATTAAATTGGTAAACATCATAATTTACTATATATCATTAGTGTTAAGTGTTTATTGTTAATAATATAATTTATGGTTACATACATTTCTTTGTATTTTACAAAATATAATTAGACAATCATTTGACCATAAACTTCATACAAAATACATTAATTCAAATATATATGACTTATTACCTACTATATTACCTATATTATATATATTTAGTATATCCACATTGATAAATGATATTATACGTCAGTTATATTAATTAACATTAAGTTATATTATGTATTTGTAATAATTAAAAAATAAATGTGTTTCTTGTAGCAGATCTCGAATTACACTGAAGGAAAACAGAATTCCAATAGGAAAGAAAAAAGAAAATATAGAAAAAAATGTAGAACTCAAAAGAAGTAAGTTCTTCCTATTTATTAATATCTGCTGTAGATAATATATACAAATATAGGTTTCAATTACTAATATTTTGTCTATGTCTGTTTATTACCATATTTTACCAATGTTTATGTAAATGTATGCTTTTGAAATTATATTATGATGTTAGATCTAAGATAGGTATTAAAAACATTTTAAACAATGAAATCAAAAAACAATACGAGTATTATGTCAGGACTTAAATAAATAGTATCTAAACAAATTTGAAAATTTATAAAAGTTTATGTAGGTTCATAAATTAATTTTGATAATGTTATTACATTAACAGGAATTACAAATATGTAGGCGGTAGGTACCCAATAGGCAGGTTAATTTGGAAAGACTTACGTAGGTTTCTAGGCTAGATGGCTCAAAAGGCTTACACAGCTGAAGCCCTCTTTTTAGATGTATGGGATGGAGCCAAAAGAAAAATCTTGATAAATTAATTTTGAGTTCCTTGGTGAAATGAGGTGTACCGAATTTTTGATACCTATCTGATTTAGTGTTTGAATTATGAGATTTTTATGGATATTATTATTTGTTTTATATCATGACAAATTCAAATAGCAAATACCTACTTATTTAAATTGTAATAATAAGGTCACATATTTTTACTATAGATTTAACTAATATTTCATAAAATATAAATGTTTTTATGTAAAAAAGCAACTCAAAAAATATGTGCTACATAATTTAATATAATAACACAAAAAAGGCAATAAAAAATACATCCATCGTCTTACATATAAATGAAACACATTTTTATACAAAAATGTCTATTATTATTAAAAATATGGCTTTTGCCTTCAAAACCGAACCCTAGTTGTTATTCTGTCACTAGAACAACAATAATTTAAGTTATTCTATAATTAATTGTTTTAGATGATAAGTTGGTTGTTGATCATGTCATTTCAAAAACAAAAACATTGAAGACATCCAAAATATCTAAGAAAACAAATAAAACAAATGAATGTAAACCTCTGAAGATTATTAACGTCAATGTTGAACCTACTGATACATCGTTAACAATTCCAATTAAAAAACCAAGAGTCAATCTAAGTACAATTAAAGAATTGAAAGAAATTGAAGAAAAATCCAATAATAAAACCATGTTGAATAAAATAAAAATTGTAAAGGATAATAGTCCAACATTGATTGAAAAAGAAAAAAATAATTTACAAGAAGATATTGATGTAGAAAATTTGAATAACACAATTGATGAAATGAAACCGGTAGTCCCTGAAATTGTGCTGAGTCCTTTTGTTTGTACAACACGTGGCCAAAAGTGGAAACCAAGTCCTCGCAAACCTCCAAAGTTATCTGAGCTCTATGATAAATACGAAGATAACACTGTTGCTGATAATTATAGGTGTGCATATTAACCAATTACCTTCGCTATTTGTGTGTTTAAATTGTTGAAACATTGTATGAAAACAATGTTTGCACATTTAGATGAATATTTAAGTGTTTTTAGTCTAAAAAATATGAAATAGTAATGTATTGATGTTATAGGAAATGCTTGGACAAAAAAACTGTTGAACTACAAAATAAAGTTAAATATTGGGCAGAATTATCTGCTGGAAATTGCAATGATATTCCTCAAGTAAATTATTGTTTCAATATAACTGTCTTATTAATATTTATATATTCACTAATTAACCTACTAACTACTAAGTATCTATTACAGAAATACTACTTTAAAATATTTGTGTAAATTCAACAAATATATTTTGAAATTTAATACAACTTATATCAAAACTTAAGTAGTTAAAATATTAAGTTATAATGATATGAAATTACTTATAACTATTAATAGTTAATATCTTGTTTTAGTCTGTCAAAGATGAAATTGATGTTGCATGTGGACAAACAAAACTTTTGACAACTGATAAATTTATGCAAATGCGTACTCTAATAAATGAATATGATAATAAGTCTGGGCAAATGCTCATTACAACAAACGATTTAGATGGATTTTGGGATATGCTGTTGTTACAAGTAATTACAACCTTAATATTATGTTATAATGTAATGTAATTAATACTAAACATTATAAAATATATTTTAGGTTGAAAAATTAGAAGGCCAATTTAGTCAACTTGCCATATTGGAAAAAAATAACTGGGCTCCATTAAACCCGATTGCTAAAAAGGTAATTAACAGACTGCCAGCAGTATATAAACGTCCAGTGGTAAAATCAAAATTTGCAGATTTCATTAAAAGTAAGTTTGGATTATTTAGTATTGTTTTTTTTTTAGAAATCTATGTGTTTTGCTGTTTTTATGTATTGACAATACCTAATACTTTTTATTTGTAATTTAACAGCTCAAAAGTCAAAGGAACAAAAAACTATACCTAACAGTGACAATTCTAATGAAAAAAATGACTCCAAGTTCAATGAAATGAAATTGTCTAATAACACTTATCGTGAGTTTTTGATTTGATATAATTATATGTTTTTGATAAATGATCAAATAAGAATATCTTTTATCTAGTATTAAATTACTATTGTTTTATGTAATGGTTATTCCAGTTAAGCTATGATAAATATTTGCTAGATCTGTTGTCAATTATAGAAAGCAATTACTTATTTAAATTTTAATAATGACATCTTATATTTTTTTATTACTAGTAGAACAAGAATTTCATTAAATAGAAATGTTAGACTGTTCAAACTACTGTAATACTTATTTAGAATTTATATTTATAGTTACTTCTAGTACCCCAACTTCAAATCAGAAAAATACAAGTTTTACCCCAGTACTGTTGAAGACCATAGAGTTATCATATGTGGCTCGTAGGTCAGGTATGACTCCAATAATACTAGGTACGCCACATGTATCTCCATTAAAACCGGCATTGAAAAATCCAGAAAACGAGAAAGGGAAAAAGCGCAAAAACATACAATTTGAATCTCCTAAAAAAATTGTTAATGGATTTGTAACACCTGAAAACTCATGCAATGGTAAATATAAAATATTAAATGTCTTAAAATGTAATATTTTAAGTTATTGTAGAGTATGTTTTGTACAATACTGATATCTTTATTATGTACATATTTGTAGATGAAATAAATCACAAAACCATTAAAGGCAGAGTTGTCACTCCGCATGCTTTAAAAACATCTAAGTTAAACCAGAACAAGGTTATCGGTTCTCAAAATAATAATATTAGTTCATCAACCACTAACCATACTAGCAATAAAATGAACTTAAAAGGAACTGCCAAAGCACAAACAGTAAATAAAATGTCTGTTGATGTGCAGAATGGCAATTCATCAGTAAGACGTTCTTCTAGACTGGCCAACAAACCTTCAAAAAATTATAAATGTTAATATGTGTTATATGATTTTTGTATAATTTTTTTTTATTAGTTAACAAAATGTTTAAATTTAAAACATCATCAACAAGTAAACCACCTAGATATCAAAATCCTCGACTAAGATGAAAATGATTAACTTCTGTTGTATTTTGTTCAAATGTTTTATTCTGATTTTTTTTATAATTATTCATCAAACATTTATTTTTTTTAAACAAATGTGTGATCATACAATTTTTATTTTATTTATTATTTTACTTAAAATATAATTATTCTCATGGGTTTCTTGACATAATATTCTTGTACATGTTTTGATGTTTGAGCATTTCCAAGTAAACCATGTACTTTCTCTCATGATACCTGTAAGTATATGAAATGTTCATATTATATAATTTCAAAAATTGTTTGAAATTTGATGTGTGCTATGTGCAATGTTGAATTTCCAGTTGTATATCTCATGGGAGCATGCCTAGATAATTGTATGGCTAATTTATATAAATAATTAGGTGGATAGTTGACATTTCTTTCTATATTCAGTACTTATACAAAATTTGGTTCCCTAGTGATCTATAGGTATCACACAAATTGGTGGTTACAATGAAATTCCAATAATTTAAAAATACAACTGTTAATATTAAGTTTTCAACTATACTTCAAAAATTATTGTATTTTCAACCGACAATTCTAATGGTTGAATTCGAATTTCACATATTAGTGTATTATAGAACTCCTAAGTATCCGGTAAGTATGGTTAACACTTTTGTGTTAAAAATCATATAAGCTATATACGTATTTATATGTTAAAACTAATATTAATAAAATAGGTGTATAAATATATAATTACAGACTGACCTAAAAAGTTAATAAAAAAAAAAAAGAGTAAGTGGATGTCGCTCTGCAGTCTGCTGTACGTTAGGTGCAGACGGTCGCTGTTATGGATGGTATTAAATTTGAATTCAATGATATAGGTACCATAGCATACGAAAAACGAAAAATGTTTCTGAGCGGAGACGGTATATCAGTATATGATATTTTATATTGTTATTGGTTTATTACTTATTATTTATACGGTAGTCGGTAAGTTGAATTAATATTATTCTTAAATTATCAGTGATGCTGGAAAAATATTAAATATACTTATTTAAAATTGGGTGGTTTTGGGACCAAATTACAACAAAATTACGATAAACTTTGTGTTAATGTGTAATTTTTGTCCAAATTTGATGGAAATTTTTTTTTATCGACATTAGTTTAAAAAAAAAAATAATCAAAAATTTCATATGCCTTTAAATAGCTCAACACGAATCAAAATATTTTGAAAATTAGATGGTGTATAGAAAATGCTAACACAAACATTCAGTGAAAATGTATCTACAGTCATTTTTTTTAGAATAATACTACGAGTAAAAACCCAAATCTATTTTTTCGAAAACTGGTTTCGCGTAAAAATTCCCGTTTTTCCTTAACTTTTTGATTATTTTTTCTTTCGCTTTTGAAAACTATTGGTTATTTTGAATTTTTACCTCCCGAATGCACCAACACATGCACATTTTTTTAAAATAAATACATTTATAGTTAGGCCCATAATTTAAAAATTGAGCTTTAAATATTTTACAAAGTATTAACTCAACATTTGGAGCTTATTAAATTTTTTCATTTATTTTGTTCACCAATACTGAATACTGAATAGTATATCGATTATTTGATAGTTTTGATTATTCACTCGTGTGATATATTGTACGAATAATAATAATTATTATTATTCCGTAGTTTTAATTATTTAGTTATGTAGGTATTATTTGATAATTTTGATTATTCAGTCTCGTATAAATGTATAATATTATTTTTATTTAAATAATTATTCGATAGTCTATATGAATAATCGAATAATATCCGATAATACAAATTATTCAGTAGCGCCCATCACTAGTCACCAAGTATTTTTTCCTACATGTATTAAAAGTCGACGCCAAGTCAAACATTTTTGTACTGAACTAAACTAACTAGGACAATTTTTTTTTTGGGTGGAGAGGGGTTCTTTATTTATTTGTGCAGAAATCCCCTTTACATCCTACAATCACTACTAAGTTCGTTTGTTTTTTTGTAAGTGGCTTATAATAAATATAAGTGTACCCAAATATTTTTAGATGTATTTAAAATTTAAATACATTAATTGAAAAATAAAAATTTTATTGTGAACTTTTTAATTAGGTAGGTTGGTATATTTTCCCATTATTTCTTCAATTTTCAATAAATTGTCAAAATCTCTTTTAATTTTAGGTACCTATACAGGGAAATTCGATAAATGGTCTTGCGCGGCATACTCGTCGTTCTTAGGTACAATGTCTTGCCTAATCGAAGAAAATATTTTTCGTGAGTGCTATGAAAATATTATGGTTTGAATTAGCCACTCCAAGTTCCCACCAAGTCGTGCCCATAATATAATATTATAATCTAATGATGTAAATATGAAGCATATCGCTTGTTGTGTACCACAAACTGTAAGAAAAAAGTGACTATTTTTTATTTTCATATACTCTGTGGTATTACTCACTCCTGCAAATCCAACGAAGGGTGTACAGTTCGTGCGTCACTGGCCATTGCCGCGATGGCGTTTCCGAGTGACGAAGACCACGGATGGAGTTCAGCAGGTGACTTGGACGACTTGCACGCGGCTGCGGCTAACATGGCTGATCCGATCAGAACGGGGTCGTCTTCAGTGGAAGTGCGCACCGGTAGAGCGGCGACGTTAGCCTGGCACTGTAAAAACACCAGATTTCGGCTTAGTCCGCCGCACACGAGGATCTCTTGGACATTTAACGATCCTTTGCTCTTCTCCTCCATCGATCCTATGATGTGCCTGGTCCCGTACTTGACCGAAGTACATGCAACAATTAAATACACTTGATATAGAAGTGTGAGTGAATATGTAGGTATGTAAGCCATATTTTATTAATAGGCAAATTATATTGTCGCCATTTATTATAACTTCTGGGTAATTTTTGTTGTTGTGGTTTTTCGGTTTTTGAAAAAAACACGTTTTAGTATAGATAGGTAAGACTTACCTATGGCTCTATATTAGTGTATAGTAGTTGGATGAGTGTGTGACATTCAAAGGCTTAACTATAGGCATTTATTTTTGGTTAGAGTTATTGGTAGGTAACTTACCTATAGTTAAAACTTGTTTGATATTTATTTTTATAAATTCGAATTTAATAATTTGTATCCATTATTCTTAAACAGTCAACTAAGAGTAATATAATGTGATAGACTTGTTAAAATTATGACATATTGTCAATGAACCTATATTATGATTGTCGACTGTCATTATTATAAAACGGGCAATGATAATGTTATAGGTATATGAATGCTTATGATAGACACTTCTTCAAAATAGTAAATATTAATAGGTCTACACTCTACAAGACCACAAGGCCCAAGGACAATAGATAATTATAAGTTATAATCATAGGTGCGTACAATTAATTTACAAGTCCTCATAAGTGATTTAACTGTTTCCTGTAATCCTGTACCATATATTATAAAAAAACTCTTTCCCACAAGATAAGTAAACCGATTTGCACATGCAGACTGATGGCACCGGCCTTTCCGAATCACTGTTTTCCCCACATTTCACTTAGTAGTAATACCACTGCTAGTCGTAATATAAAATATATCGTTTCGAAAATATATTCGTTACAAATGTGTAGATATATTAAATTATTATACTTACACACAGCGCCTGTATTGTTGCCAGATAAATAAGTGCCAAGTTCTCTTGGTCTGAGGATAGCGTCAACCCAACCATCTAAAATACAAAATTAAATATAATATTTATATTTTATATTGCGGTTCAATCTGGAGTAAAGTGAAATAGATAGGTAACGGATGTATATTATACTTATAAGTTATATTGCCATATATTTTATAATATGTCTATTACTCAATACTATAGCTATTAATATTAATATTAATTAACAATATTAATAATATTGTTACTCGAAAATGTTAAGAGTGGATTTAATATATTGATTGTGGCATAGTAAGCAGTGGCATGTCAGATTTTTTTAAAGGGGAGAGGGTTAAGAATTGTTGAATGTTTTTAAGCCACGTCAATAGCGCTTAATATACCTACTTTCATTGTTTTATCATATATTTTATATGACACAAATAATCTAAATGGAGGATATGACACCTCCCCCGTGGTATCTCAAGTAAAGTTATTTCATCCCCTTCCCCACACTTTGTATATCTAGTACAAAATTCAAAAGTCTCACATCACGTCACATCCTCCCCGATCTGCCAGTATTATCAGGGATATCGATTAAGGTAAATTGCACCTAAAGGCAATAACTTAATCTGCACCCCAGTACTTTGATTTTTCGTGAAGGTACTTACTAAAATAGAAAAATCTAAAAATTACTGAATAATTTTTTTGGAATTGTGTATTATGGAATTATAGTTCATTGTGTTGCGTTAAAATACGTTTATAGGTTCCTGGGATTTAGCGAGCTTTCCTAACTAGTTCCGCATTAAACTGCTAAACTTATAACTTTGATCATGTTTGCTGTAGTATGATTTTTTTGTTTTTCACTTGTAATATGGAGACAAGCATGGCATTTTCTTAAAACCCCACACGTACCATTCCTTTAAGCGTGGGATCCGCTATGGGAGATCGGTTTCCATGAAAGTCAGGATATACGTGAAAGTCTTCGGTCAACCTATCGATTGCATCCAAACCTTTGTCTGCTGCCATTTTCACGAGTAACCCGTTCAGGTAGCCTTCCGCTCTCCTGTTATAAAACCGGATGTACATATAATAATGTCAATGGTAAAAATTGAATTATTCATTAAAAAAAAAAAATTGGAAAAACTTAAGTCATTGCAATCGTCGTGTAAGTAACCTAGTAGCATAGAGAATATTGTAAATATCTGATTAGGGCGAGTGTAAAGACTTCGATTGTAAATTTGATATATTTTTTTTTCTTAAATTAAAACTGAAATAAAATTATTCTTATGCGACAATTATTATATTTAAACATTAAATTGTAATTTTTTATTGAATGAAATAATTTATGTCTCTAACACGAGCTAATTTTACAGTAATTTTTTTTCACTATTTGTAGTTTTTTTTGTAGTCATTTTTGTATTTATTTTCCATCAGGAACTTTCCTCTCCCCGATAAATAGGGAAACTTCCCGGTACAATTTCACCCATCACTGCCCAGGGTGTATCTATGTGCTTACAAATAAATTATTAGTGTCGAGTGACTTATAGTTTTTTCATATTTGTCTATAGAGAAAGCTCGAAGAACAATGTGCGAGTGATCTATAAATATGTTTCATAATACAAGTGGGTCAAATTATTTTGTCTTGGGGCCTTCTCTCACGAGGGCGTCGTTTTATACCAATACCTAAGTTATTATAAATATTGAAAAAAAAATCATATCCATCACCCACCGTCCCTAACCCGTTTGACCAACACTCCATAACACTATAGGAAGCTTTATTTAAAATTTAATTTTAGTACATACCTATTAGGAATATATTTATATACACGACACATAGCATGTAGAAAATCAACTTAAGTTGTCAAGAAATCATCGCGTGCGCTACCGTGAGTTATATTTCGATGTATAGACGACGAAGATGGAAATTAATTTTCAAGTATTTATTTCGAATAAAAATATTTAGAACACATCCCTTATTGTGTTTCAAGTGCATCCATATTTTAGGTCTCTTAAGTACTAAAAGTCCTTAGCCCTATATATTTATTATATTATAATAATATATAGTTATGTAATATGTTTATAGGTATACTCACTCGTCATCAGTGACTTTCAGATGTTTGGCGGCCGGATGAGTGCTGATCACATGATCGATCAGTTTGCCAGTGGCTGATTGGCCGCCTTCTAGAAGCCACAGACCCGGGACTATGGCACCGTAGTATGGTCCCCAGACGCCGTCCACGAGCACTTCTTGGTCGCTTAGTAACATGTGACACGTCGATGTGCCCCCAATCATTACTGCAGAATAATTAGCATAAACATAAATATATTATTACCTGTACCCAGGGCCAGCCGTAGGATTTTTGCCGCTCTAGGCAAATCTAATTTACGCGGCCCTATGCGATAGTTAATTTTTTGGAGAGGAGGGGGTTGAATAAAATATGGACATTTATTTTTAACTATAAACCCTTGTTTTATTTTTAAAAAAAAATGTTTTAACTGACCTCGGTTTTCTTTACAAAATATAAAATAATTGTTGGGTGTGAAATAGAACAATTAATATTTTTGACCATCGTTACTCATTCGGTATCGTTATCGTAGATCAACAATATGTATTTAATTGAACATTAAAAAATGTATAACTACACAATTAAAAATATGTTAAATGCAATTAATTTTGCGAGCCTTTTCTTGGGCAAAATCAGTCGGTACATTGTTTAACTCCAGGTTTTCCATTACTTCTTTTCAATAGAAATTGTAGCAAGATCACTTAACCTTTCTTAATTCATAGAAGACCTCAAATAGTTTTTAATTTGGGAAAGCTCCGTTCACCAGACGCGACCGACATAGGCATAGTTAAAATAATGCGAAGTGCTACAGCTGCATTTGGCTACGTTCTCGGTAAACGAAGTATCAACAGTATATTATTATTAGTTATTACTTATTAGTTATTACATATTTATTTTTGTATATTTTGAACAATGAACATACAATTCAGTATACAATATTATATTATAATAATTAAATCACTTTGGTTCATTCGAAATTTGACGCCCCCGCACTAGTGCCGCCCTAGGCGGCTGCCTATTTTGCTACCACATTGAGCCGGCCCTGCCTGTACCTAAATAGGTAGTTTATTAGATACCTATGCTGCAAGGTTATTCAAAAGTTGTGTGTCAAAAATGAAGGGAATTACGTTACGTTTTTATATTGATTATCCTCACTAATTGTATCAAACACAATTAAAAAACATGTATAATTGTACAGATAATAGATAATAAGTAAGTTTCAAGTTTACAGCAATATACATTACTCTATAAGCTATATATATATTTTGTATGATATTAATATATTATGAAAATAGTTATCGAAAAGACATGTGCGGCACGGCATGGAGTTTCCAATAGGAATTTTGAACTTATAGCTATATTGACGTAAATTAAATATGTACCTATACTTTTGTTAAAAATATTTTCGATCGAAATTTTTCCACTTGATATATTTTCCACACATACTTTCCACACTTTTTTTTCCTGCATACTACTAAAAATCCATATATTTCACAAAGGCTGTAGGTACATATCATATAGATTCAAAATCGAGTAGTAAGAAGTACGTATATTATAATACTTAGTATTTACCCAATCGGTGGCCAAAGTCCGTCGGATTTTTAGACCCAATCCCGATCATTCCCAGTGCTCCAGCGTGCGCGTCAATCAATGATGTGGCCACTGGAGTCCCGACGGCTAGTCCCATTTCACGGGCTGCTTTATCGGTTAACCCGTTGCCACATGGTCGTCCTGGCTCAAAGACTTCGTTGCCTGTTTAAAAAAAAAGAAAAGGTGTTGATTTAAAAGTATAACGACCGCCTGGGTACCTAAATTTCACTACATGATGAAAGAGTGATACTGACCTATCGCTGACCAATCGTTTTTGCTCAAGTCATCCAGACCAATTTCTTCAAAATATGAGCGATCCCAACAACCACCCTGCAACGCCTGACCTGCACAGTACGTCCATTTACAGGCGACCGTACACAGTGACCTGTAAACGAAACAGTCTTTTTTTGTACAGCAAGTCACCGGTGTGGAGGTGTCGGCTTATATATAGATATTCGCTATTTTTCTAGCATTATGATATATATATTATAAGTGTAAGTTTATGATATATACATGCAGTGGCTTTCAACCTTATTGAACTCTCAACCCATTTTATTCATTTTTTTTTTGACCCATATTTGTGTTTCAAACAAATTAAAGCTAATTACACAAATTAATGTATTATTATTTATATACTGGCCCCGAGATCTTGCGATTTAACGACTTTAGACTTTTTTCTTTGGGGTTATCTTAAATCGCAGGTCCATGCAAATAAATCACGCGTCAAGGTTATAGAAAATTGTACCTCCCGAATACTTGCCACCAAGCAAAGCAGTTATTTAAACGATGTTTTATTCCATACATAATTCGTATATAATGTTCTTTAAAATAAAAATAATTGACTACATAGCTTACACACAACTTATTTTTTTTTTATATTGAAAGATCGACCTTCCTTATTGAAATACCCGTTATAATGATATATAAGTACTGGTTTATATCTTTTACTGTGTAAAAAGCAAAAACAAACCGAATTTTAGTTAATTTACTAGTATATTATTAGTACATTCATTTTATTGGCTCCGTACAGTCGAATAACATATATTTTTACTACCTATATGTATATATACAATTTAATTACCTATTAAAACTTAAAAGTATAGGTACTGCGGTCCACGACTTTTTTCTGAAGCTCGTTTCACTGGGTGAAGACCACTGATATAATTTAATATATTATTATGCAGACTAACCTGGAAACGGCATCCGTTGCTTTCCAAGTAAGGAAGTCGGGCAAATCGAAGAACCTACCCACTCTTTGCCAAAACGTGTTTTTCGGTAGATTATTTTTTAGCCAAAGAATTTTCGGCGTTTCCATTTCTAACGATATTTTACCTCCCACATACTTCAAAACTCGATGATTTGTCGTGTTGATGAAATCTGCTTCCTTTTTGGCCCTATGGTCCATCCACAGTATTATATTTTGTTCTCGTTCACCTATAATCATATTATATTTATATGTACCTATTTATAATAATAATACGATACCACAATAATTACTAACTTTCGGTTGGTAATAAATTAACTTTAAAACTCTTTTCGATATTCTGAATTATTTTTCGAATGCACTTTTTAGTTTAATAGGTACTCGCTACTTACATTTTTTTATACCTACATATCTATTTAACATTAGGGTTACATAACTTAGATTTAAATATTGGGTAAAAATGTTTATTTGTAATCGTAATTGTAATGTATTAACTTAGTACGTGTTTAAAAGTTCAAAATAATTTGCAAATAAATGCTGCGTAAGCGTAAAGTCATAATATCGATTATTGTCTTAATTGGACACAGCCAGTCTACATGCACTTGTAAATAAAATTCAGTATAACCCTGATATGACTTATCAAATAATAATATTTATACAATTATTTAGACGAATCAGTATTTAATGATTTGCAGAAAATAATTTATAAATTATAAGTTATTAAGTTAGGTGAAATATTATTATCGGATTGATATATTTATCGGTGACATAATTAACAAGATTAGGCCATTTACGTTGTGTGTATAGCTTAATTAATCATTTAAAGGTAAACACATCAACATTTATTTTTCAAAATTGGTTTTTAAAATGATTTCAAATTATGTAAAAAACCATCCGAACAATTACAATTACTCTCCCTCTATAATGATTATATTCATCTATTAATTCTTTATAATATTTAAAGGACACTATCTTATGTTATGTTAAATTATTAAAAAATAATGTGTCACTCTTCCCTCTTCCTGAACTAATTCTTAATAACGCCACAGTATTGCTTACTCATATACCTATCACTATGCAAGACATTTTAGCAGAAAATTCTTACCGTTTTTGCTCACGGATAATGGTAGTCCATCACTGTCCACGACTACTAGAGAACACGTAGCATCAAATCCGATACCTCCCACAGCATCCGATGGTACACCTTCGGTGACATCCTATATTATTCATATATATATTTATATATATATATGTGTGTGTGTGTAGATATATTAAAGTAATACGAATACGGCATTTCTATCTTCACTAAACTTAGACTTTTAAGAGGACGTGATATTCCTGCATGTGTTGTCTCTGTCTTACAAGTGCGTAACATAGCAAATTTTACGCTCAGCAGAACACGTGTAGCTCCGTTAGTTTAAAAATTAGTGCGAATTGACCTCTTATAAAATCTAAAGGTAAGATTATTATCTAGGCAACCTCATAGGTTTTTTATTATATTTTAATTTTAACGCGAGTTATGGGTGTTTTAAAATTGTAAATTTTTTATACATCTTAAAATACTTATAACTCGCGTTAAAATAATAATATATAATAAAAAGCTTATGAGGTTGCCTAGATAATAATCTTACCTTTAGATTTTATAAGAGGTCAATTCACTTTAATTTTTAAATTAACGGAGCTACACGTGTTCTGCTGAGTGTACAATTTGCTATGTTACGCACTTGTAAAACGGAGACAACACATGCGGTTATCACGTCCTCTTAAGCCAACATCACAACGAAGAGAGAGGCGATGGTGGTTTTCACTGGTACAGCAGCTTCTGAACTTTAAAGAAACTTGCATTTAAACAAGAGAGAAAAGAGATGTAACGATGTTGCACTTAACAATTGCAAATTGCTATCAGTCGTAGTAGCATAGAGATTTATTTGTAGAATGCCACATCCATATACGTTTAATACTTTAATATCGATAGTGGTATTATACCAAATATTAAAGAGCATATTATTGTCATCGATAATTTTCGAATACTATAGTCGTGTTGTATAGAGACAAAATAGTTTCTCGTTCCTTACCCTCACGACTTTACAGCAACTGCTCCATATGTCTTCGGACGATTGTTGATAAAAGTTCTCTTCGGGATTCCACGTTTGAGTAACACTGGTAGATTTTTTTAGAATTCGTCCAGTACCGTCGACTAACGCCGCCCGAACACTTCCCGTCCCGACGTCCACTCCAACGAAGTACATATTATTATTGTTTCTCAAACTAAAAAATAAATAAATAAATAGGTAAATAATAGTAACAATAAACAGCTTTAAAATAATATTACAGTATACGAACATTTTTACGTTATATTTTAAATGTATATATTGAACAGCCGTATCATATATTATAATATTAACACTACAGTAGGTAAGTTATAAACCTGGTAATGTTTTTTTACACATATGTACCTATGTTGGGGGGAAAGCGCGTCAATCATTATATACTTTCGATTCGAAATGCAAACCCATTAACGATACCTAACAGCTTATTATACTAAACATGTTTTTTGCCTAAACTCTAAAGAATAAACAAGAATATCCGGTTGAGGCATCGATTATAAATTAGCAATTGCAGTTTATAGGTACCTTATATTTTTTATATATAGATTAAAATATAACATAACTACATATTTATAAGTTATGATAAACAATATTATAATAAGAATACAATAAGAAAACTGACTACAAACGTACTCGGTACACCGTGTGTTGTTGTATCATTTATTACTTCAATTATAATAATATTAATGTGTTTGAAAAAATTGTTAGTTACAAAACAAGATTTAAATAAAAATGTATTCATTTTTATCTTTATATAGTGTTTAAGTTTTCCCTAATTTTAAAGACAACATATTTTTTTAAATTCCTTATTGCAAATCAGAATAATTTTCGGAGTAGGTTGTTTGATTTATTAAAATCGAATTTTGGACTAGTAGTTTATGATTTGAGTATTTGAAGTTTAGATTAGTGGAATGGTATGACTTGAAGATGTAGGTACCCCATAAAATATTGGTCACTACTCACTACAGCACTCATCAAAACTGACAACTGTAAGCGTCTAGGCCTTATAACTAATTAATTATCTGCTCGTCTAAAATTCATTTTTCAGAATACAAATAATACAAATAAAATAGCATGCTTTGGAATATGAAACGAAAAATGTATGTTGTCATTCAAAAATTGATAAGACTTAAAAAATGATGACGATGAAAATGTAATTTTTTATCAAATATGTGGTTTTGTAATGACTTAAAATAATCAAAAAAAAATATTCTCAAAAACGTTATAACATCTTTTTAAATATAGAGCGCGGTTCAACGTTAAATGATTTACCTTAAAAAAAATGTGACTTAAAATTGTATGTTTCGATTGCTCGTTTAAAACCTCACTCTGTAGCAGACTGGAACAGTGTACTCCGTGTTAGTGTATTTTTATGGCTTACCATGGTGTAAATTATTCATCATGTATTCATGTGATAAAAAACACGTACGATGACCGCCAATACGTAAAAATAACATCAACGTTCATGCGAATAATATTTGGCGATATTGCCAATAGAAGTCAGAAGTTACTGTTGATAAAACGATTCGATATAAGACGATTCGAATCTCGTACAATTACTTTAATCTTACTGTATAAGTCTTATTGCGTATTAAAGTAGGTAGGTACTAACACTACTAACTACAGTCTTCAAGTCTTGTGAAGTATATTTTAGAAGTATTACCTATTTTAAATACTTTCTCAAAGTATAGGTACCTATTTAATATTAAATAAGTGACTTCTAGTTGTAAAATAATAAAACATCTATAAATGGACATGTGCACAAAAGTCATAAAATATTACACATTGGCTAAAAGCCTTATATTTATTTATAAAAAACAGTTTAAACATTTACAGACAATCTTTTTCAGAGGCAAAATTCATAAATTTAATTAAAAATACCGGTATAGTAGTATACACTTAAACTCTATAGGTACTAATCAATCTAAATTGATTAAAATTACTATTTAATCCATCAATTCTATTAAAAATTATGGAAGTACCTACGGTTATAGGGAAAGATATTTCTTATACTTATATTGGGTATTCTCATGACTGATGTTTTTTCTTTGTGTGTTATTGTACTCAATCGAACATTCACATAAGGTAAAAGGGTGGGAAATTGAAGTAGTTAGACCAAATGATGCGATATAAAATGTTAAACAAATATAATTATTCCAAAAAACCAAAATTTATTTTAAGATAAAAAATATTGAATTCCTCTAAGCCGTTCTGTTAAGTTTATAAAACAATGTTGTTATTTACCACATATAATTACTTATTATTTGTATACATAAAATACTTTTTAAACACTCCTATTCAATTTTTTCAGTTGATGTGGAATCAGCACTAAACAACAAAGATAATATGTTCAAGCTTAAATATTTATGCTATATGACAGGGATGGGCAACTGGCGCCCGGCGTACCTTTTTTATCTGGCCCGCGCTACATTTTCAAATTACTTCTTATAATTTTAGCGCTTATCTATATTTTATTTTATTTTATTACATTTTTCGATAAATTCTTATCCAGTTTTAAACTGAAACTAAATTATTAAATGTCTAAACATATATTTAGAATGGCGTAGCTAACATACTAGGTATTTATTTCATTTTATCGGTTTAGTCATATCCGTACTGCCGTAGTGTCACACCGCCGCGCCGTTAGTATTATTATTTTCGCGTTTTGTAGTAATTATTTTTAAAATGTCCGCTAAAAAGCGTAAAATCGAAGACGAAAATAGAATTTTTAACAGTTTATGGGAGAATGAATATTTATTTATTATAAACAGACAAAAACACCTCAATGTTTAGTTTGCTTAAATATTATTGCATTACTAAAAGAATATAATTTGAAAAGACATTATACATGACAAATCATTCGAAATAGAAGTGGATTTTACTAAATTGTCTATTGAAAAACCACATTCTCAAGTATCACATTGAATAATAATTGTAAATATAAATAAATAAAGATAAAAAATAAATGCTAGTAAATTTGAAGAAACTTTTTTTTTGCTTTCTCCTATGCATTGTGGCCCGCTAGATTTTAAAGTTCTTAAAAGTGGCCCGCTAATAACTTTGAGTTGCCCATCCCTGCTATATGAAAATGAAAATTGAAGCACCACCGATGCGTCCTATCAAATTGTGAATATCTTACAAAAAAAATTATTTCTTGTTATAAAATGTAATCTGAAGATAATTATTTCGTAATTTGCATTTTTAATTCTAAGCGGAGCAATAAATGCATTGATTTTACAATATTGTGTGTGTTGTTTTTTAATTTTTTTTATTTGTGTCTGTGTACACAATAAGTAGTCGAAATAATTATTCTTCGATTTTAAACTTCAGTATCTTTTACGATGGGAAAGTCAGTCTAGTTGGTACGTTCAGGAAGTCAAAATTTAAAATTCTCAATAGTTTTCAAAAGCGAGAGGAAAAACAAACAAAACATTAAGGAAAAAAGGAATTTTAATGCAAAATCGGGTTTCGACGAAATCGATTTTGATTTTTATGTAGGTAATTCTAAAACAAATGAGTAGATACATGAAACTTTCACTGAATGTATGTATATTAGTATTTTCCATATAAAATCCCATTTTCAAAATATTTTGACTCATGTCGAGCTATAAATAGACATATGAAATTGTCATTTATTATTAGTTTTTTCTAAAATTTATATCGATAAAAAACATTTTGCTCGGTCAAAAAACTTGAAAATGTAATAAAAGCTTCCTCGTAAGTTGCTGTTGGTGGAAATTTAAGAAAAAGTTTATCTACTTTTATTTAAAAAAAATGTCTACCGGAAAGTCAAATTAAATTTCTATGAGCCTTAGAACTTCAAATTTTTACAACACAATAATTTCAATTTCAATAACCATATTCACTCGATTTCTTATATGAGACGATTATATTATTTTGTTGTAATTAAAAAACGAAGAACCGTAGATATTTGAAATTCACTCAAAATGTTTGTCTTATAATTTCCTAAATACTTGAAAATTAAAAAAAATTTTTTGACTCGTTCTAAGCTATTGACGGACATTTTCAATTTTCATTTTTTTTCTATAAATGTCAATATAATTTTATTGGTTGGGTCAAAAAGCATGAAAATTTAATACAAGGGTCCTGATATACTTGAACAATGTAAGTTGAAAAACATTAAAAACTCCACAAATAACAATGGTGTAATGAGGATTTTGGAATGGTGAAGGGGAGAGCCAAACCTCCCAAAAACTAGCAATAATTTTATTATCTGATAAACGCAACAAAAAAAATGAAAATAAGAATGTTAACATAAATGTTGTCAGACTAATTAAAAATAAGTTATGCCAATATTTCAATAGTTTTATGCGGATTACCAGATCAAACAAAACAAAAACATAGCATTACAAAACGGATCATCCTGACAAATCTGCTCCAGGTGATACCTATTAGGAAATTTGAAGTACCTACAATTTTAAACGAGGATTGTCGAACTACACTCCTTACCTAAACTAGAACGTTCGAATTTCTTGCACTTGGGTTGAAAACAGGTCATGTTCGAATATTGCACACGATCTGATCATTCGATAAAACTTATATTAAAATTGCAATTTTATTTGACACTTACATACCCTATGTTTGTGTTAATCGATTTAACACTATAACGACTACGTTATTGCACGAAGTTGCTTATTTATAAATAAATTAAATTAATATTTGTACACTATTTTTTTTTAAATTGTAACTATGTAACATGTACATTTCAAGTATTCATTAATTTTGATGAAATTTATATATTTTTTATATTATTATTTTTGAACTGTAACTCTAGCAGTAATTGCTATAAATTTAGATATTAAAAATACAAATTATTCTTAAGGACGCCTACTGATATTCGTTAATAAATAGATTCTACGTAGTGATCGTTGAGTGAAACATTCGAACATTGACCTTTTTCTATCCCAAGTGCAATTCGACAAAAATAAGTGCAATTCGATCAATTCAAATTTCAAACGATCTCCGTCTAAAGCGCCTAACGTTTATAATATTTGGTATGTATTAACAAATTGCATGGTTGCAGATACTTTTGTTTGCGTTTTGCATGGTCGTACACTACTTTAGAAACAGGATAATAATTTGTTACAATAAGGCATTGAACTACCTATTATTGAAGGCAATATGAAACGTTATTATCTGAAATTGAAATCACGACATTCTCTAATATTAACGATATAGGGCAAGTATACAACAAAGAACTAAACGACTGAATAATAAGTATCGGCTTTGTTTGGCACAGAATGTTCATAGTGAAGCACATTACGACACACTACACGTAATTTGCGATCATCTTAAATATAAACGACATTTTTTAGAGCTGAAACGAGTTATTAAAAGCCGGGGGAGTATCTTTGCTTAGCAAATGAGTGTTCGTCACCATTGAGTAGGAGTAGGATTAGGACACTTGTTATGATGTGATAAATTTGAATTCAATGACAAATCATTGTCTAAGAAGAAAGCCGATTTTGCGCGGATGTGGTCCCTCAGCAGATTATATTTCTGAGGATATTTTCTATTTCATATTTAAATTGCTGTTACTGATGTATTATTATGTTGGTATGTTAGCAGTACGGTGTATAAAAATAAATTTCACCAAAAACAAAATCACAATATTATAGTGAGTAATAATATAGGTAATAGTAATTATAATATTATTATTTCATACTTTTATAATATTACTATAGTTACAGCTGTTATTAACTTATAAGTTATAAGTCAATACCGATGTACCACAATACGGTGTGATCGTTTATAAGTGGGTAAGCTTTATTATTTTAGATATTAAGCTGCAAGTTTTAATCTTGAAGTATGATTTTTTTATTAAAAATGTTTTCATGTTTCATTCGAAAACATTATAGAATAAAAATTAAATTTGAATCATTTTTCAAATTTTGTAAGCTGAAAAAAAAAATTGGGTAAGTGGGTAACACTTTACTATACATTAGGTGTCTAGAGTCTGTAATGGATGTGTTAAATTTGAATTCAATGACACCTGCAATAAAATTATTTTACGCAAAAAACGATTCTGAGCGAAGGCCTATAATATTACTAGTAGTAAATATACTAATAGTAGATATATTTTATGATACTATTGTGATTAAAGTAATTTATTTTACTAATAAGTAATAGTACTACAACAGTAGACTCAGTTCATTTTTGTCAAAAAAAATTGCATTGGAAAATATCATTGGGTTTATAAAATATAATAATTTACCTACTTTACAAGATTCAATTACATAATTACTAATCATCGTGTCCGTAACAAAAAAAAAATCTCATCAGATTTCTGACCTCCAGAGATTAAACTTTAGATGTGTCGAGTGATATTTTTTCCGACCAAATATGTATAGTGTTTATCGTGATTGTTATAATATGTTTTTGTTTCCAAAACTTGACGTTTACCATCAGTGGTTTGAACAAAATATTAGCTTACCTACCAAAACTGCGTTGAATAGGTTTGCATTGTTGCTGGGTGTAACTAATTCCACGTGACGTTTACCAGATGTGTTAGTAATTTTTCTAATTTTCTCAATTATTATTTTTTTTGTATTGCAACAAAAGCTACAGTGTATAAAAAGGCATTTAAACGTTTTAAACTTTTTTCCCCCAATATATTATATTTGCTATCCATTTAAACAAAGCATATGTTCAAACACTTGTGCAATACCGTTTCACAAAGTATAAAACCTAGTAGTTTTTTATCAAAAGTTTGTTCAAACAAATATCTCGTCGTGTCGTACCGGATAGCGATTTTTAACAACATGGGAAGTTACAAATTGTACCTGGCCGTCATGGCAATAGCTGTCATAGCTGCAGTTCAGGTAAAAACAAACCAACTACATTATACAGGGTGATTCACCTAGCACTCTCGCCTTCAATTTTTCCTTTGATAATGAATCGTGAAATTCTGATGTTATAAATGTTTGAGTTTAATGACCTTATTTTTGATGACCTAGATTTATACGAAGGAGTGTCCTATGACGATACCAACTTCTTCTTTGTTCAACGAGCATCGCTCTTTTTCCCTGTACATTTGACTTTTTTAAAAATGTTGATGAATCTAAACCGAAATTCGAACTAGCAGTATTCTGGAGTTATTTACTAACTTAATGCATACTAATGATAATAATTAATAGACAATATTTAAATAGGTTTCACTGGTATGAGTTTAATATAATATACACTACATGTGGATACCATATAATATATAAATTAATAATTTTAAAGATTAAATGCCTATTACATTTATTTTATAGTTTTGTGAAATTTTTCATGACTACTATAATCCTTATTTTTTAGTAGGTACGTATATATATTTCAATAATTCATACGTACTACTCGTTCAAATGTTTGTTTGGATATAGGTACATCATTACATCAACATTTTCAAAAACATCATCTGCTTGATGAAACCATCACATTAATGTAAACACATTAAAAAGGGTTGTTTCTCATTTGAAAAAACAAGTTTCTTCTACTCAAAGTCCATAGGTACTTAAAAAATCAAAAACCAGAATTTGAATAAATTAATTACTAAAAGAAAAATGGTAGTGAGCCGCATGCTTCGCGAATCACTCTGTACGTATTTTAAAGTATAAAATAAATATCCTAAGACGATAACACTTTGCTGGAATGAGCATTAAACGTTCTACTTCAAATACGATCGCAGGTCATCAGACACCGCCTGTACAAGTTTTTACGATGTCCCATGTGCACTATACTATAAATCGTCATCGACAGTAATAACAGGGTCTTTTTTTTAAACAAAACTTATCGAATAGGGTCTAATACATTATATGGAATGGGTGGTGAATCAAACTGACTGCATAGATGAGATGTGCGTATTAGGGACGCGACGTTTCAATCTGCAGTTATAAAGAATCACTCTAAATATACCTATAAATTATAATAGGTATTATAATTTTTTTGTTCACAAAAAACACGTCTTTAAATACGCATCTTAAATGTTTATTTTAGAACTGTGTAATCGTTTTTTTTTCGTTGTACTATTCATTTTTGATAAACTGCCCATGTTATACACATTAGGAGAGCGGGTAAAACAAAGCGTTGGTTCAATATTTAACGACCGTGTTTATTTTTTTCCAAAACCGCTTTAGGTACATTATTGGTCTACCGATCGTTGTACAATGGTCTCGTTGAATATTCATCGGTACATTTGTAAACACCTATACGGATTAACGCACATATAAAACGCATAAAAATGACGATCTGATGTAGCCACGTGTACCTACACCTGTTAAGTAGATAAACATAGGTATTTTATACACGACGACAATAGGAAAAATGCGTAGATGCCTACGGTTTAATTTCATTTAAATAAAATTTCTAATTTTCTACAGTGATCATTGTTGGGGAAAATAGGGGGAAGCTATTGAGGAGAACTTAACTCTTAATTTCTTAAATCGTTTTAATTTAAGTGCCCTCCGTATAGAGATTCTGGATCTACCCTTGAGTTGGACCATACTATTGTTAGCATACGTTCCATATTGTCATGTTATCACAACATGAATAATGAGTAATTCATCATAATTAATTAATGACAGTACCTTTCTTCCAAACTTGATTTATGCATCCTTTAGGTATCAAAGAATTTATATTTTAAGTTTCATGATTTATAAGTTTCAAGATTGGTTCAGTAGTTTTGGAGAAGATAACAGTAATAAATTGCATCGAACTGAGGGATAAAAGGGCTATGCTTCGCTCCACCCAATTATTATCTTATGTTATAAATGTTGAGGATATTTTTGAGTAATTTGTCATAACAGAACCACATGTTGTATTGAAAAAAAAATTATATTCTAATTTCTAAGTTACAATAAATTATATTAGTACTAATGTCGATAATTATAGCTACATGGTGTGGTGTCTCAATTTAGGCTATTTGCGCCTCTAGACTTTAAATCGCTTAAACTTAGATTTTGGTGGTGGGACTGGGAAGATATCGTTTCAACCGAATAAATATTTACTTATAATTATATAATAAGCGATGTCAGAGAACTATTCTGTATAATATGTGCGTGTACCCATAGTCATAAATTATGAATATTATGTTGTGTGTGCACAGGAAATTAGTTGCAAGGTTCAGACTTCCGAACAGGACGATGATCAGGAAGGATATTACGATGATGAGGGAGGAGTGAACGATAATCAGGGAGAAGAGAACGATAATCAGGGAGAAGAGAACGATAATCAGGGAGAAGAGAACGATAATCAGGGAGAAGAGAAGGAAGAAGTTTCCGAACCAGAGATGGAGCACCATCAGTGCGAAGAATACAAATCGAAGATCTGGAACGATGCATTTAGCAACCCGAAGGCTATGAACCTGATGAAACTGACGTTTAATACAGCTAAGGAATTGGGCTCCAACGAAGTGTGCTCGGACACGACCCGGGCCTTATTTAACTTCGTCGATGTGATGGCCACCAGCCCGTACGCCCACTTCTCGCTAGGTATGTTTAACAAGATGGTGGCGTTTATTTTGAGGGAGGTGGACACGACATCGGACAAATTTAAAGAGACGAAGCAGGTGGTCGACCGTATCTCGAAAACTCCAGAGATCCGTGACTATATCAGGAACTCGGCCGCCAAGACCGTCGACTTGCTCAAGGAACCCAAGATTAGAGCACGACTGTTCAGAGTGATGAAAGCCTTCGAGAGTCTGATAAAACCAAACGAAAACGAAGCATTAATCAAACAGAAGATTAAGGGGTTAACCAATGCTCCCGTCAAGTTAGCCAAGGGTGCCATGAAAACGGTTGGACGTTTCTTTAGACATTTTTAATAAGCACGTCCATATAGACTAGTACTATATACTATATATATATATACTTAAAACATAGTACATAAAGTGCAGATTTTCCAAAAAAAATGTTGACCTAAAATCTCACTTCCTCAGCCCTCCGCAGTCATTTTCAGTTTTTTGTACAGTACCATTACACATTAGGTATATCTGACTCACCACTCACCACGTTGTTCTTGCAATAAATATTATCGCTATTACTATTATTATTACTATTGTTATTATTATTATTATTATTATTATTATTTTATTTTGTTCTAAATATACTCAACTAATTAACGAATGATATATTATTTATTTGTTCTAAAGCAATATTCCTTGTTCTATTTAACTCTATAAGTACGAGGATCTCGGCCATATGTTGTACAACAAAAACACGTGTTTCATTATAATTAAAAAACGGACTCTTAATCATAGAAGATTTTACCGAGAAGAAAAACGAAAACAATTTAAATGATTAAATAACAAATAAAATTGGTACACTGTAGTAGATGATATCGTACACTTATAGCAATATTAAATAATTACTTATAAACGTATTTTATGTGTTACTCAAAAATCTAGAATATATGTATGCAATATGATGTATAGTATATGCAATAAAAGACATTTGAGTACCTATGTTTAATATTAAAATAATGTTTGTTGAATTATTAAGTAGGTACACACCAAATTAATAATTGTTAAAAACTTAGAAATTAAGAGTACCTACATTTTATTGATATTTAAATTTTAGAGCTAGGTGTGTCCTGTGATGGTTTCATCAATACAGTCTTATGAGGTAAAGTGCTTTGGAAAATATTATTTTTTACTTCAAGTTTGATGAATGGTCAATTCACCCTAATCATGTTAAAGTTTAACTGCTATCGGCAGCTTTATTAAAACGATCGATAACCAATATAAAAAGGCGGTGATTGAACCCATGAAAGGGTATAACATCGGTAAAGTTGTTTCACTCCAACCGTGTAAGTAAGTTATTATATCCGGATGATTTTTTTTCGTGTAAGACTTTAATCCTCTTATCATAGATTTACTATACACTGTTATCATATCAGGTTACAAACGATCGCGTGGAAAACAATTAAACAAGGTGCAAAACGATAAATGAATATATGATATACGCATGTGTGATCATGTTGTACAAGTATACAACATCATAATAATAGTATTGTCTATGATTTATTTATCCACTATTCTAATTGTTCAATTTAAAATTTAAAATGTCTTTATGCGCATAATAATATTGGTCTGGTTGGGTGCGAGTACTTGTTATTCAGCTCATCAATTTGTACAGTAAATTGGTTTATATCGCGTAAAATGCAATTATTGTGTAACGTAATTCGATTGGAACATAAAATATATAGGTTTATAATAAAATTAAACCTCAGTGGTTGTTTGTGAGAAATAAATCCATCAAAATCAAGGTTAAACTATTTTAAAACAATATAATATGATATGATTAATTAAAACGTATACCGCATACATGGCGCATCATTTTAAAAGTATTCTGTAATAAATATTGTTTTAATAATAAATTCAGATAATTATTTAACAATAAAATAGTAATTAGAATTCAGAACACAAAATAATATTATAAGGCAGTGTTGGTCAAAAAAATACTTAAAAATACTTAGGAGGCCTTTAGGCAAAATAAATATAGCAATTGCAAAATAGATTCCCGTTCTATAATTAAGAGAAAAAATATGGGTTTTAAAAATAAAAATTAATTTTAGGAAATTTAAATAGTATATAGGTACGGTGTAATATAATAGCAGATAATTTAAATGCACATTTTTTAAACTTAAAATTATAAAAAAAATATATATACTAAGCATTAAAATGCATAAAGATTGTTTAAATTGTTTATCAGTTATGAGAATTGGAAGTGATATTGTATCGGACAGATTGTAATTTCATGGTAAAATAGATTAATTTGTGGAGAAAAAATAAAGAAAAGTACCTACTCAATTTGCAAATGTTGAAAAAATATATATTTACATTCGTTTTCAGTCCAACACTTTTTAGTATTAGATTATTTTATACAAATATACGTATAGCTACATTTGTAAGTGGTATATTACTGCTTGAATTATTGATAAAATAGTGTAGATAACATAAATAATTATTTATAATTAAAATTAAAAATGTATTTTACACAAGTATGCAATTTTTTTATGGATAACCTAGGGCCCCTGCAATATTTTCTTTGTCCTGGGACCCTTAAAGTATCAATCTGATCCTGCTTATGGAAACATACACAATTATTTACATTTAACATATTTGTAACTATAGGTACTGTAGACATATTAAAAATTATACGAATAAAAATCGTAAGTTACAATAATACAAATTATTACCGTATTAGTATGGTATTACGAAATACCGGACTGGCCGATGATGGATAATGGCGCTGAATAAGAAAAAAATGTTCTACAAAATCACGAACAGTGTACACTAAGACAACTGACTACAATCAAACCACTGCTGACAGATTGGAAAAATTGTTATTTGGCCTGATAAGAGTTAACTGATACGGTTCAATACGCGATGATGCACAATTAAATATTTAGAGATTTGTTTGCATGGGCGCCCATTGGGTGGGGCAAGATAAGGCACTTGTCCCCCCCTCCCCACTCGGGAACAAAAAATATGAACTCGTAGTTCAACAACATTACCATGATATTACCTAATTACCAAGACAAATTATTTTTTGAAATCACTATTAAGATATGATTGAAGTATACAAATACACTATATTATAATACATGATTGCTATCGAATATATTAACATCATAGATAGGTCGTAGTCCGTATAAGTACCTACGTAAGACTATTGACCGCAGATAATTTGGGGTGAGCCCATAAGCATCCCATTCTATACAAATATTTTATTAGACATCATTTTATGTTCTGACTTCTAATGAACGTATAACTACGATAACAAACTGACAGCTGAAAAATACATGCATCTTTGTGTACTGAGTTTTAGTCGTCTACAGTCGGTGTGACATTATATTTAGTAACGAGTGTCATTCGTCAATTATTCTTTTAAATTTTAAATTATGGATATTCGATCATTTTTAATTTCAAAAAAAGTGATGAAAATAGTGCATTTGAGCCGCATACATCGAAAAATACAAGTGTTTCCGCTCAAGTCAATTCAAATCCGGCATATTCTACGTCAATAAATACAGTACCTACATTAGCTATTAATTATGTGCCAAATGATTGTGAGTCATATTCAGATTTAGGATTTTATGTTAATAAATCAAATTTATCAGATGAGCTTACATAAAAATTACTAATAAATCCATAGGTTTCTTTCGGTAATTATGATTTTAAGATGGATAGTATTACACCAAAAAGGAATTTTAAAATGGAATGGCTGAAACAGTATCGATGGTTAGTTTATTCCAGACATTTAAAATGTGAAAAAAGGTTTAAAATCATATTCAAGATTTATTGACTAGTTTAATAATAACAAAGAGTTATCAGATATTGTTTTCAATGAAAATTTTTAATGTTTGTGTCAGAAAAAATTCAGCGCAGAGATTAAAATTCCAAGCACTACTTAGAAACAAACAAAAAAAAAAGCGCGTAAGTGGATGTCACTCGGCTGTACAGTAGGTTACAATGGCGCACTGTGATGGTTGGTGTTAAATTTTAATTCATGATATAAAATCATTGTTTACAAAAAACGACTTAACGCGAAGACGGTCTGTCAGCCTCTATACTTAGTAATTTAGTATATTTGATGATGTTATTGTGATTAAAATAACTTATTTTAATATTAAGCATTAATATTACTGTAGGTTAAATTCATTTTTGCCGAAAAAATAACTTTCGAAAAGTCACTGTGTGTATAAAATATAAAAATATACTCTAGAAGTTTGAAGTAGGTAACCACGAATAATATTTTTAATCTACAACAAAATAACTTACAAAAATCATTTTTTCTTAGTTATTTAATAATATGTAATTTCGTCAACATTTGAACATAATACAACAATAAAAAAAATTGTGTTTACACATTTTTTGGATATAGAATTAAATACTTGTGTGCAGCTTTGTTTTAAATTTTTGATCCTTAGTTATAAAAGTTGAACATTTTATAAATATTTAACTACCTACAAAAATGATTTGTACATTTTCAATTTGATAAATTTGAACTTTTAATGCTTATAAACAAAATCGTACCTATGTATTTTTAATATTTTTCAACTGATAATGTAACAATATATCAGAAGAATTCTAATAAATTTACAAGGTTTTTGACCCAAAAAATAACATTTTATTGACTTTTATAGAAAAAAAAGCAAAAAAAAAAAATGAAAATGTCCATAAAAAGCTTAAAACAAGTAAAAATATTTAGAAATTGTATCAAGTATAGGAATTGATAACATACAAATATGGAGTAAATTAAAAATATTTATAGTTATTCATTTTCATATCACAACAAAATAAGGAAATCATTTGGTAGGATTTTTTTTGATAAAGATAGACATACTTATAAAGAATCTCTTGTATTCAATTTTAAAACTGTAGATATAAAAAGATAATTTCTTAAGTATTTCTTACTCTAAGCTAAATAATTTGCGAATTTTCGTGATTTTTACGAATTTTGTCAAAATTCTAAATTCAAACTCTCTTAAAAACATATTGTCCAATTAAAACTTTACTTTTTTTTAATTTCCACCAACAAAAACTTACGAGGAGCCTTGTAATACATTTTCAAGTTTTCGACCAAGCGAAAAAATATTTATTGACATAAGTGTAAAAAAACTAATAACTATCGTAAATTTCATATTCCTATAAATACTTGAACACGAGTCAAAATAATCTGAAAAATGTATGGTGTACAGAAAATGCGGATATTAACATTCAGTGAAAATTGCATGTATCTACGGAGATACATCAAAAACCAAAACAAATTTTGTCAAAAACCGGTTCTCCATAAAAATTCCGGTTTTCTTCAATTTTTTGTTTGTTTTTTTCTGCCGCTTTTGAAAACTACTGGGAAATTTTTTCTCCTAACCCTTTAAGTACCAACAAGATTCACTTTCCTACCAGGAATGTTGTTGTTGAAGAAGATTGAAGCACTTTTGCTGCCCCAAAAGATGGAAACAAAAAAAAACAAACACACATCTTTGTAAAATTAATACATTCTCGCTCCGCTCAGAATCTAAAATAGATCAAACTACGAAACCGATTCTGCTGAACGCTATTGTAGACTTTCCATCTTGTCCCTTAATTATATTCACCTCGTTCACGACGATTTTAAAGCACAAATAAAATAACATTCTCATCAGTCTACTGCATCCTATAAATGTTAACAAGGACACCATCATTAATGGTTTAAAAAAAAAAATTAAGCTTAGAAATGTAATAATCATTATCAAATTGAAATTATGATAGAAGAATCTTATATTTGGTATCAGTATTGGATTGATAAAAATTTGATTTAATCTAAGTGTGATGAAATTTTGTTCACTGATTTATTGGCTCATTCCTATTTTCTTTTTGTTATTGTTGCCCTTCCCTAAAATTTTATCTATGGGCGCCCATATTTTAATGAAACAATAAAAACTGATTTAATTCATTTTTGTCATCATCGTTTTTACTAATTTTTTTTATGAGCGTTTGAAGCAGTGGCTTAGCCAGAATATTGCTTTGGTTTGAGGCCAAATTATCAGAACCCGACAATTTGTTGTATAGTGAACGGATGCATAGCTTAACTATATAATCCCTCATAAATTTAGTATCTATGCCTATTCTGTGGGTATAATACATTTTACACGCTTACACTCATCTTGATATAAATAGCAATTTCAATACATCAAGGTCTTACGTTTTACAAAATACTATTGAGTACAGACTATAGATAGTATATTTATACTATATCCATACTCAATGGCAATACGATTTCACTGGCCGCTGAGAGCATTTTTAAATTTATAAAACCTATCGATATTCAACATAAAATAATGATTTCTCTTCAAATGATTTTTATTATTTTGTTATTTTGTTCAGAAAAACATTAACAGTGAAAGTTAAAAAAATTCTGCTATTACTTTGAACTTATCATTTTATATACAGCGTGAAATTTGAAAAAAAAATCTTTACGTTAATTTTAATTGCTCTTTGTATTATAAACCTAGCTATATTCACACCTTTCTCCGGTATCTATATTTTAATAATTAATAGTATAATAAATGCGATTTGACAAAAATTAGATTAAACTACTGATACTGCAGTGTTGTTACTACAAATAGAAAAATTAATTACTAATAGTGATATGAATAAATTAAAAATATCCTTCGAAATATAGGCTAACATCCGCCTCAGTTCAGAATTATTTTTCGTGCTCAATGATATGTTAACGTTGAATTCAAATTTAATACATTCATTACAGTGACCCGCTGTAACAAAAATGTATCGGCATCACTCGTCTGATCACCAGTCGTCTAGCCTACTATTACACTATTTTCGTTTAATGTTTTCATAAAAAACCTACTCACATACTTAAAATATACAAAATAAAAACTGGGTAACCAATTCCGCTGTATAATAGATGTCGAGTGTAACTCGTTCAGAATTGTTTTTCGTGCTCAATGATATTATGTTAACGTTGAATTCAAATTTAATAAATCCATTACGGTGACCAGCTGAATGACGAGTTACACTCGACGTTTACTATACAGCGGAATTGGTTACTCACTTTTTATTTAGTATATTTTAAGTATGTGAGCATGTTTTTTATGAAAACAATAAACGAAAATAGTGTAATAGTAGGCTAGACGACTAGTGATCAGATGGGTGATGCCGACATATTTTTGTTAAATTCTGCAGTGTGTATATTTTATTATATTTGTATTGTATGTATCATTATAGATAATATGAGGCTTAAATTTTAATTCGATGATAAACTTTTTTATTTCATTGTAAAATGGTTTTGAGTGGAGACGGCGCGTCACCCTCTATTTCTAAGGATATTTGTAATTTATTCATATCACTATTAATAATTTATTTTTCTATTAGTAAAACACGGCAGTACTAACATGTTAAATTAATTTTTGCCAAAAACATTACATTAATTATATTATTAATTAATAAAATATACAGTAGAAAAGTGCAATATATACGTAGACGGAACTAGTCTTTAATTAAAACGGTTTTATTTACATTTACACTTATGTACTTATATATATATACCAGGTACCTACCTATATACAATATATTTCTTGTTGTATTAAATTATCATAATTTATTATTTTTATCGTTTTAATTAAACACTCTGTAATTTTTGGTCAAGTATAAAAATAACTATACGGTGGAGAACCTCGCTATTTCGAACTCCAGAACCTCAAAATGTCTATAATATGTCGATTTTTTTCCCGTCCCGATCAGTGAATTTTGGATTTACGTGTTAATTTCTTTCGGTACGTCATCGATTTACCATAAATCGAAATTGTCTGTATGTAGAACTGCAGAAGTAATTTACCGGTACCCAACGGGCGCTTATAATATTATGATTCACTATAACTTGAAATTCTGACAGAGTAGATAAAGTGTACAATGTCCAGATGATAATGCATATGCTAAAAGACAGATCTATACATAGACAGAGGCCCTAGAAGAAGGACTGTTGGACTTGGAATACAGGGGCCCGGCTATTTTAGGGGGCCATTGAAATGAATTTACAATTTTGAAATTTTGATAGAAATACTTATTTTATTTAAAATAATATTTTATAAGTCTCTCAAAAACATTTAGTAAAAAGCGGCCAAAATGTGATGTGAGAGGCCAATATATATAGACGTATAGTGTAAGTTAGGTATACATATTACTATAATTATATATTATAAATTACAGATTTACAATCTGTACATAAGTCATGAGACAAGTAAGACTTAACAAATATGATTTGTTGAAGTACATAAAATGTAACTTTGTATAATCTGTTTTTAAATAATTACGAGTTTAAGATTCATCTCATTCACGTAATGGTCTTATAATGATATAGTTTGAATAAATTATACATAAACTTATCTACTGTTTACTTCATTACATTTGTGTTGCATATTTTATCAAAACCAAATGTATAGGTATTTTACTAGGTAGTTTATGTTGTGTATAAATCTAAGCCCTAAATTAATAATTGCCGTTGACTGTTGTATTGTATGGTTACTTGTGAGATATTTGTCCAGACCTTGGTGTGTTCTAGAAGTTATATTTATTTGTATAATTTACATACATAATTCGTATATGTATATATAATGTACCCAAAATGAATTGTACATATGTACACACACACACACACACACACAGTATACACACGTCATCTCCAAGTCACCTAGACAACAGGCGCGTTTGATTAATGAACTAACAACCCCTACACATGTTGAAAGGGTTAAATCCAACGACGTCTGGTCTTTTTTCCTATTCAATAAAACGATAATCGTCGAAAATCCTATGGTAGCTGCTGACATTTTATTGTGATGTGTCGACAAGATCATATTGTAATAATAAGAATACCTAATAATATATTCGTGTGCTTACACACAGAGATAATATTAATATATATAAAAACCTACGGACCGATTGCTACGTTTTTTCTTCTTCTTGTAATACAAAAAGGCAATAACCAGTAAGTATTATCATAAGCTATAAGCACGACGCACGTATGGTATTCGATTATAACAAAGAATGTTCGTAAGAATGATTATCAGCTGTTTTAATATCATGTTTTACTAATGTTACTTTATGAAAATGGTTAATTAATTCCAGATACACTGGAAGATGAACAATAAACAATGACTACTTTAAAAAAAGGGATAATCAAGAAGATCTAAATATTCAATATAATATAAATACATACGCATAGTATAAGTTATAAATATGAACCTTCTTTATATTATATATAAATATATATAATATTTGTAGTAATACAAAAATATATTATAGTTACCTGTCGTATAAAAAAATTATATAGGTATGCACCTTAAATCGGAATCAGTAATAAAATATGTAATAGCAATAAACCATATGGTTTACACCCCCCCCCCCCCCCCCCCCAAAAAAAAAAACAATAAAGACCGTCTATATAATTTAAATAATATGTCAAAGGTCAAAAAGTTCGCTGTATTAAGAAAAGAATCAATCACCCTTTTCTATCATACACTAGTGAAATAAATAATTTAATGCTAATATTCATTTCTTAACCTTTTAATTCTGCTTTGACTGTGACTGTACTTCATATTATTCTATATGAAAAAAGGAATACTTTTAATTCTGACAACAATCACAACAACACATATATTTCATGAACTAAGTAAATATATATACACATTATATGGATTGTTATTATAGAACGTAAAATTGTTGATCTTGGCAGTGTCCACTGCGTTAGAATATAATATGCTATGTGTTATTGACAAATATAGGTGATGGATTCGATGCTGAAATTACATATTATGTTCTATTATTGGCGGATACTTGTCATTTATCAGATATGCAAAGTTACAAATTTTACAAAAATATGCTTTGATTTTTTTTCATTTCTAGGCACATAATATTGCAGGGGTACAAAAAATAAATAAATCAGATGTTAGTCATTTTTAAATTGCCATCAATTAATATAATATAATATTGTATAAATGTGACTAGCAGAAATATTCATTATAATTTATAGTAGTATAGACCCTGCAAAATTACAAGATACTATTCGCCTATATTATATATTATAATATACGCTGCCGATTTTTGCACACCAAATACTTTGGCCGAAAAAAAATAACTTAGCGGGGTTGTAAGTGTGCGTTGCCGCACGAAATAGATATGTGGAGATGGTGGGCCACGCGACCTTGGCGCGAAGTTAAAGGAAGTCGTGTTGCATGCTGGTGGAAGAAAAAAAAATAAAGAAGAATGCGCTAGTGTACAAATGTCTGTACAACTTGAATCTTGGAATATACAGTACGATATATAACAACGGTGCGCCTCCAGAGTCGTCTTGTACAGTCCGTCTTGTTCTCGGCGCGGTTTACGTACTACCGACGACGGCACGCGCGAAGAACAGCGCCCAATACCTACCTACCGATGTTCCCATGTCCCATGGATTTCCGTGTGGTGATCCCAAAGAGTACAAACAAACCGTAACCAACGAACGCCGGAACGCGGACGCGGACGAGCGTGAAAAAAGGAACCCGCTCGCGGACGCCTCTCGACGAGTGAGTACTTATTACTGTTTATAATTTACACCATATTATATAGGTGTACATGCGACATAAATTATAGCCTACATATTCACATTATAATATATGTCTGCGGTGTACTTTATATTGTGATGTTATAATTTACAGCGAACGAATGCGTTATTAAACCGTCATTGTATACTATAATATGTTTTCCTTCTCCTCGGAACGACAATAATTGTTATTATACCGCGTGTGCGTCGAGAGGATATTTAATGGGGAAAAAACCTCCACGAAATTCGTCTTTTTTGTTGTCGAAAATTTAACTTTTATTCGTACTCACTACTACCCGGTGCAAATCGTTTTCGCCGCGTCCACGCGGAACACTCGAGCTGCACGTGTGAACGGCGTGCGAATACATTTTACCGTGTCGCCGAAGAGAACAACTGAGTAGGTGTCAAACAAAATAGAAACCGTGTAACGGATAGACGTCCTCGACGACGTCTGCGCGCGACGAGATATTGGCACACCGCGTCGTCGATTATCAGCCGTCCGTCTAGCCGTCTAGGCACATAACATTATATTATATTATATTATTATAATTAAGTACGATTTGTATTACGTCTGCCCATAGCGATAGCGCCGGCACTGAGCGCTCGTTCATGACGTACGTACTATTATAATATTATTATGTATACGTCGGACAGCTATGAGCTATAATAATAATTATTAGGGTCTCAAGGTCTTGCACGCGCTTATCTCGTACGATTTGTTCAATCCGTTTCTGTGTAGTCCTTATACACGTCCTACATCGGTATGTAGTGGTTGTAAAGGTACCTGCAGGTACGACCGATAATAATAATAAAAAAAAAAGTATCGTACAAAATTGATAAATACCTACAACGGAAAAAAAACGCACGTGTATAATCACCTAATATTTTGTATTTAAGCTCGCTCACGCACGACGGCGGCGGCTCTAAGGCGTGATAACTCGTCCGAACGATGTTAATAATAATATTGTTATGTCTACGAACGGTTACGTCTTGCGTCGCGTAATCCCACGTGCAACCTGTTTAATTGACACTTAACGACTGGCTTGTACGTATTTTATTTTAATTCCGGTCGTGACGGACGACGGCAGACAGTCATCGTGTATCATCGTCGTCGCCGCCGCCGCCGCCGCAGTTGGTTAGGTGCCGTCTTGTCGTAGTACGGCGACGAGCACGCCACTTCAGTCGACTATAGTTTTAAAGATGTGCGATGCATGAACGACGTATCCATTGGAACCAATAATCCCATGAAGGGAGACACATTTTTCATCAGGAACAGTCCCAATACATTTTTTTTTATTTATTGAAATAAATCTACAATCTATACATTTTTGTACAATAAGTAGGTTTGATGAGTGATAAAATAAAAATAGTTAACACGAATCGTGAGATTTTGGAGGATACCCAGTGGTAACACCCTGTAAAGTGACAGTAATAACAATGAACAATTTTAAAAATTGAAAGGCGTTATATCTGTAAGCGACGTCCAACACTTAATCTGCTCACCTACTGTAGAAGGTCCCAATTCCTAAAGCTTTTTTCACATAATATCATACAAAATGTATTGGCTATTTTTCTACAAATATTTAACTAAGCCAAACCGCATAATCACTAGCGGTTTTGTCCCATTGTAGAGTACTACAAAATATTCAATCTACGGCATAGGAGCTTAGCAAAGTATTTAGTTATACAAGTAGATGGGCAGATGTATTAAAGTTATGACAGAAAACATACAAATTAATTTAAAAATTACTGCTTTTTAATTTCTGACGATGTGTATTTTGTAAGTTATTACCTACGTTTGTTTAAAATTTTAACATAGATTATATGCGGATACATCCATAACATACTACATAGTTATACAAACTTAAATATGATATGTTCCTTAGGGGGTTAATTTTGCTTACATAGTCCTCCTAAAATACGTGTCATTTCGAAATGAATGCACATACACGAGGAGAATTTAGTCATTCAGTTTTAAACTTGTCACAATGTTTTTTGCTATGGTTTTACCCAATATTAAAATTTAATATGGCCAGACCAGCGCTCGTGTCATTTATACATTTTAAAAATACGAGAAGATTGCTTTATACCATCTCATTGATAGTTGATATAACACACATGGATTTGGCAATTTGGCATTTCTATCTTCAGTAAACGTACACTTCTAGGCCAACCTAACAGAGGGAGAAACGATGGTTAGGTTATCTCTCGCACCGAAGCTTCTGAGTGATAAAGAAACTAAAATTTAAACAAGAAAGAAATGAGATGTTACGGTTAACAGTGGTATCAGTTTTGATGGCCAACACATTTTTATAGGCCTACAATGTCCCATCTATAAGTTTATTATCAATACATTACCTTAAGAGGTCGTCAATGCTTTGTAATTATCTAAGTTTTATCAAAATATTTGGATTGGTTGATAAAATATTGCTTTGTATACATACATAAATATATCAATAAATATACAATAAACGAAGGAATTTTAATGGATCCAAAAATACTACCTATTTGGCTATATATGGCTGTATGGCACTCGTGACATATTTAGAAACACTTCAAATTATTAAAATAAAAATTATAAAATATGTAGGTGTATTTGCACATATGTATAATATATAAAATATTAGACTAAAACTATAATATTTTAATTATTTTCCAAAAACCGGCCTTTGTATGAAGTTTTTAAGATATTAACAAAAAAATTATACATTTATAACATTATAAATATTATTTAAGAGAATATAGGTACTCTATTTAAGGTTCAATATAATACTTACTAGGTAGTAATAACAATAAATTAAATAATGTTAATAATATTATATTATATTAAATTTTAAGTATTTAACCATTAATCAGTTTAACTGATTTATACAAAATCCATAGACCTTAGTATAAGGTCTATGATAAAATCTCAACACAGATTTAAAAAAAAAAACACGATTTTATTCATACCTAACAACCAAGGTTCTTATTATTACAACTAGTTTTAATTCTGTATACATTTTGGATTTTGTTGATTCCGTCAGTCATTTTTTTATTGTTGATAATGTATATCAATCCAAATAACCATATTGTTTTTTTATTCGTATTTTTTATTGAATTGACGCATGGTAGACTCAAGTGCAGATATAGGTATAATAAATTAATTAACATATATACTATATAAGTATGATAACATAGGTATGTGATATTAATACCACTTGTACCGACGGAATTGAAATAAATTTGCCTAGTCAAGTGGAATTTTTCGGGACTCCCTTTTATAAACACTACCATATTTCAATAAATTACATGAAAACACTTAAGCCGGTTTCACACTGTACCATGTCGTGTTGTGTTACGTATTTATAGCATTTAGGTAACAAAATATTGGTGTCACGTTACCTATACAAAATGAATATATTCAGCTCTACCTGACACTGTATAGTAGATACCTACTATATAGACTGCTGGAGTGTTCACTGGCAGGTGGCAACCCGCTGTATACTGCATTGTTCTAATGCTTTAAGACAGTTTAATGATATATGAATGTAAAAACAAGAGACTTGTATCCATAGACCTTATACTACTTGAAAAGTAATTTTTTGTATGGAAAGCATAATAACAAACTACTACAAAACTACATTTTTGATTACTCGATTACTCGTACGATCGGTAGTGAGAGGTAGCAGGGTAAGATATACAGATATATTATACATTATTGTATTTTTTCGTAAAGGCCTACATCACTGCGAGATGTCGTTATGCCGCTCGTAATGCTGTTGTTATAGATACACACGTTTTTATCTATAGCAGTATGAGGTCTATGGTTGCATCAAAAGTTGAAACCCCGATAAGCATACAAATTAAAATGAGTTAATATTAAATATTTTTTGTGACGTCTCGTTTAACTATAAAATAAAAAGATTGAGTTTGCTTTTGCTATAGTATAGTAATGAATATATTCGAAATGCGAAATATGATGTGGCATTTGTTTCGAATTTAATGTTTTCACGAATTCATTATATATTGTTTTGTGTAACCACTTACTACCAATTAGAAGGCGTGAATTGGCGAATAAAATTTTTTTTCGTAGGTATTTAAATGTTTTTTCCGCTCATCAATACGTTATGTGGTTATTAATGTAGGTACTGTTATACACTTATATCTACATTAAAATTAATATTGTAATACATTATAATAATATAAAAAATAATCATACTCGGACAGAAAAATTGTTTAACAGACAAGCATTTTGGATTTATGTAGTAATATATAGATTCACAAAAGTGAGGTTTTATTTCGTCCAAAATAGGTTCATATCGTATACACTACGAGAATAACAATATTATCATTTATCGTAACACGTTTGATAAAAATATACTCGGTTATTGCATTAATTAAAACACATAAACATGTTTATAATAAATAATAATAATAATAGTGTATCTATATATATAATTAGGTATTCGTATCCAAATAATATCATTATTACATACACTAAGCGAATTAGGTACGAATATATTATAGTCTCATTCTTATCGTAATTTCGTAGTTTCGTACCTACTGACCTCTCTTTGTAATTGCGTACCTGACGAATGCTCTTGATTTTTTTTTTATGCAGGTTTCAATCTTATAAATAATATATTTTACAAAAACCGTATTATTTAACTCCGATACACATAGTATAGGTATTCGCGTGTCGCACTAAATTCACTTAAATAACTGACATTTTTTCACAGGTATGACGCTACAAGAAAAATATTGGACCAAGATCGAAGGCGCCTGTTGCATAGTGGTCGCATGCATCACGGCCCTGGTAAAACTCGTGTTGAAGTACGTCGTCGGCACTTGTTCGAATTTCGAAAATCCGTCCGGTAAGTCTAATCAGTTTCAATATGATCGTTTTTCACACGAGAGCGATCTCTCTGTAATTCATTTTTATTTTTAAATAATAAGACTTATTTCTCTTATCTAACCTACAATAGTAGGTATATCCGTATGAGAGTCCAACACAGTAAAAAGTTGTAAAATAGAGTCTACATACTGCAATGCTGCAATGTAGACGCAACTGACTTGAGTCTTAATTAGACATTTTCACGCACAAAATAAGAATTTTTTTTCGATCATTTAATTATTTCAAAATATTGTAATTAACATAATTTCGGATTGGCTTGTATGGATTTGTAAATTGTAATGAAATTATTTTATAATTTTGAACAAAAGTAGTGTTCTTATACCTATAATTGCTATTTGTTATATTATTTTATACGGTTTGTGTGTAACTGTGTAAGTTCCAACAGAATATTTTCTTATATTGTTGTTAATAAATAATAAGTGGTTAAAAATATGATGTTTTTTTAGAACTTTATAGATACTATCAAAAAAGATTTCCTTGTTTATTGTTTGTTCACGAACATTTTTTCGATGGTTCTTGACATTGAAAACATTCCAATATTGTAGCCGATTCCGATAACATTGTTTATAAACATTGATGTACCTAAGTCGTGTCCGAAACCTAGAAATAATTTAAACTGTTCTTCTAAAGTCATAATAAGTCATAAGTCATTATTCATTTTAATATTTGGTAACACAAAACTTATCACTAATTGTAATATAAAGTATAAGTTTTCATTTTTTGAAAACATTAATGACAATTTTGATTATAGTAAAATAGCCATATTATTATTGTTTGGCATTTAATAAATTCGATAAGGTTAGTTATAAATAAAAACAATCAACTCAATTAGAAAATTATTCTTCATCTTTAAGTACAAAACTGTGTTATCATTTTGATTTCATTGAATCGGCTCAACGAGATTAACTATTAAAATTAAGTTATTTATCATGTAACCTAAAGAAGGAATGATTAATTTTTAAAGGATCATTATTATGGTTCCTAAAATATGACGTTTACAGTAATTATTCTCCAGCTAAAAATTTCTTATCTCTACTTTTGCAGTGGTTTATAACAAAGTTACCAAACAAATAACATGGAACTATTTTTGTCCAAATTAGTTTACTATCTTAAATATATACAGAGTGATTCACCAAGCATGCTCACCCTCTTTTTTCTTCATTACGTCAGTTATCTAAAATCCGATTTTCGTAATTTTTAAGTATACTTAAACACAATTTTTTCAAATGTTTGAATTTTTTTGTACTATTTAAGGGGTATCCTGTGGAGGTTAAAACTTCTGTTTTTCAAATGGGAACTTGCCTTTTAAACTGTAAATTATTCAGCGGAAAAGAACTAACTAATAAATAAATAAATAAACTAATAAATTACACATTCGAGTTTTGAGATATAGGTACCAACATCAAAATGTTCAAAAAAATTATCCATTAACTAATTTACACAAAAAAAGGGGGTTCTAATTTGAAAAACAGAAGTTTTTATTACCACACGACACTCCTTAAGTACAACAAAGAAAGTTCAAACATTTAAAAAAAATTGTGTTAGAGTACATTTAGTAATTCCAAAAACCATAATTTGAATAAATTGATGAATCATTCTGTATACATATAGGTATACAGAGTGATCCAACAATTATGCTCACCCCCTTTTTTCTGTAATAATGAAGTGTTTCAAAATCTGATTTTTGGAATCTTTAAATATACTCAAAGACCATATTTTCATATTCTTGAGATTTTTTGTACCACTTAAGGAGTGTCCTGTGGTGATACAAACTTTTATTTTTCAAATGGGAACCCCACTTATTTACTGTAAATTATTTAGCGGATAATTTTTTTGAGAATTTTGATGTATTGAAATTAAAATTTGAACAAGTAGTTTTCTAGTTATTACACATTTTGTGCTAAGGATAATATAGTTTATAGTAGGGAAGAAGGATATGCTTATACAGTATACGTTATTATCTATTGTCTATATACATAATTTAAAATAATACGTCATTTTATATTTATTTAGTCAAATACTTAGGTAAATAGCGGTAAAATCCTTCTTGATTTTTTTAGTTATTTTTCTTATTCCATGTATAGAACTTTATAACCATATCCCTATTATGGACTATTATCCTTAGTACAAATTGTCCATTAACTAGGAAACCACTCGTTCGAATTTTGATTTCGTTACATCAAAATTCTCAAAAAACTATATCCTCTAAATAGTTTAAAGAAATAAAGAGGGGTTCTCATCTGAAAAACAAAGGTGCGTATCGTCACAGGACACTCCTTAAGCGACAAAAAAAATCTCAAGAAAATGAAAATATGGTCTTTGAGTCTTTGGTCTTTAAAGTTTCCAAAAATCAGATTTTGAAAAACTTCATCATTAAAGAAAAAAGGGGGTGAGCGTACTTGTGGGATCACCCTGTATATACATAGGGTATAGGCATACACAGGTTCCAATGATTCTTTAATTTTGCTTATGAGCTTTCATGCTTCTGAGCGAAGGAAACGAGTTCAGAATCTACATCTATATTATCTAAGGATAGCTTTTATACTATTATATTTATATTATTTTTTAACATTCTTAATTCAATAGATTTAACTAGTGTTTCTCAAAAACTTCATAAATCAAAAAATAATAAATCGAATCAAAAACGTCGTCAAACAGGGTTATGATATTTTATCAAATAATATATTAATTATTCATTTTTGACAAATTAATATATAAAATGATAAAATCGTAAAATTCGTAAAATTTGAATCTATATCCAAAATAAGGGGGGGGGGGAAATGGTGTAAAGGTACTACAAATAATATTGCACGGCACATGCAGTCTATTTAGTTCATTAATGATTTAATTATTTCAGTACTATACATACTCTATATAAGTATACAGACGTATTTATTATTTATATATATTACATCGTTCCGATTAACCTAATAATATTAATATTTGATTACAATAATTCATCAACGGTCAGGAGTGTAATTATAAGGGTAATTGGGGAGCTGCAGCACGGAAAGTCCAGAAACATTTTTGAAAATTAGGTTTTTATATGAATTGGTGTTAAAATATTTTTTTTTCTATTATTATTACATATTTTTCTTTTATCACCCCCTCCCTAAAATAAAACTATAGATACTCCATTCACTATGTCCATAGACTATGGGCTTAATACTAAATTATGTGATAAAATATAGATATATTACATTGGAAATTAATATTTTATGATTTAAAAATTATAAACTGTTATTTTAAAAATCAAACAAACACCACTAATTTTTGGTTGTTATGATTTAACTATTTATGGCTAGGTACAAAATTAATGTATAGCCCATACATAGATACACAATGTGTATGCTTACGCACCTAGTTAATACTACAAAACGTATTATAATTTCGTCATTAATTTAATTAATTTCGTATTTACAAAATGTAATATTGTACTACTTTATAAATATATATTTTTATAGGTAGTCAAATTATCATAATTCTTTGTAAAAGTCCTACATATTAAACTTTGTATTGTTGTGGTAAATATTGTTCCTATACCTACCATTTTGAACTTTGATAAATATTAGGTTGTAGGGGAGACCACGGCTTTTTGTCATACTATTCAACATACCATCTTCGGAGCATACTATAAAAAACCAAACACTAATATTAAGCTTTAAATTGTTTTAAAAAAAGAATTTGTGACCATCCCCTCCACTTTTGGGTCGGTTATTACATTATTACGGAGTTATTTGTCAAGGGTACATCAAATGATAAACCGGATCAAAATCAAACTCTTGTTGTCAGTGTTAAATTTGTGTGAAATTTAAAATTACTCATTACAAAAAATTAAATCCATAATTAAAAAACAAGTTAATAAAATGCAACAACTTTAAATATATATTTAGTTGGAACTTTTTAAACACATGATGTGATAACCAGCCACTCATAATTTGTGATAACAAATCCCAGACCTCTATTTAATGACAAATCAACTTTATGATTTTTATTGATTTTCAATACAAACCAAAATATAATACGTTCAGTCTACTCTAGTTATTTATCAAGTTAACAATTACACCGTGAGTCGTTTTCTATAGTACCTATATAAATGGCAAATATTAAATATATTTACGGTAAAAAATTACTCACAGACCTAAAATTCATTTTTTTCGTTATAAAATTCGTCATACGACTACAATCAGCACATACTCGAGATAAAAATGATTATTTTTATTCTGATAATATGTACAGTACAAAAGTACATAATATAATATAACGAGCATAAATACCTTCAAATTTCAGAGAGTAGTGATATTAACATTGTCACAACCAGCCCGTGTGCAACTGTGCAACTAACCCCGATATCCGCTGTAAACAGAATTAGGTACCACTACATTTTATAGCTAAAATAATGAGAATTATATAGATTTATAGTTCATATAGTTATAAAGGTGTTAAATTGGATTTGAGATGTGACAATAGTGTTTAAAACCAGACGTTGCCACGTAGGTAACTACAATACAGCCAGTTTAAAATAATATCATTTGGTTTTTGGATCGAGCAAGATATTTTTGTACAAGGTCAAGACTTATACTGCTCAAGTCATTGACATAAATAATGGTTTTTTCAGATGCTCAGCGAAAAATATACAAAACAGTTGCGGATATTCCAGGACCAAGGTCGTTGCCTGTATTTGGAACCAGGTGGATCTATTGGAGATTCGGTTTGTATAAACTGAATGCCGTTCACTTGGCATACAAAGGTATACTTTAACAATAAAACATAATATAAACAAAATAATATAATCATATTACCTCCACCTATCTTGGATTTAATTCGAGGCCCACGCACAGTTACGCACCCCTCACGCGATTGAAAGGAAAACATTATCACCTGTATAAATAACTAATATAATATGTACATTGTATTTTGAGTAAAGAAACACTAATTTAACATATACGATATTCATGATGATAAAATAAAGTTTAAAATTGTTAACATTAAGCAACAAATTTAAATTCGGTTGGTGTACAATGTACATTGTATTATCATCTATTTACGAGTTATTATATTTAATATGTATATTATCTATACAGTATATACTCGTTTAAATATTCGTTTAGTTGATCGAAATGATTTCATAATTATGTGAACACAAATTCACAGGATAATCAAAAGAAATTAAGTTTAAATTAGTAGCAGCTCTACATATTCCAACTTAATGAACAAAAATAATTTAATTCACGTTATTACAATTGTTCTGTTTAACTTTCATTAGGTAAAGTAAAACTTCTGTTTGACTAATTGTTTTGTGTTATATTTCTTTAAATAGTTTTAAATTGAGCTCTCAATGCTATTAAATTAACAATGGCTTTTATTTTGGTAAATCAGCCCCTTTTAGAATATGTTTTCAATACTATGAATAGTGCAGTGACCTAAGAATAAAAAATATTCTAGTGTCTAAAATTATTTTGCATAACAATACGAAACAAATGCAAAACAAACTTTAATTTAATTTTTTTTTTAGTTATTAAGACTTAACATTTTAATATTAGTAAAGTTATATTATATCATATATTTAATACATTATTTTCAAAGCATATTTATTAAATTCAATAAACATACTACCTAGGTTCAAATAAGAACCCAATTAACTTAATGATTTATCATCATTCATTACTTAAAAATTCAAAACTACTTGAATTGTAGATTGCGGGGGGGGGGGGGCTCAAAGAAGTTTAATCTCAATAAAATTCCTGAAACTCCCAAATATTTCCCAGCTTAATCTCTAAGTATAATGAATTATGTTAATAATTGTTAATATATATTTCTAGCGCCTCTAGATTCATATTTACGACAGTGATTATTGGGATACATGATTTCGTTGCATTAATCAGATTACACCAGTAATGAGTATTTTATTAATTTCCCAGACATGTTTATTCGGTATGGCGATATTATTTGCGAAGAGGCATTGTGGAACATACCAGTTATAAGTGTCAAAAACAGAGATTTCATCGAAAGAGTACTTAGGCAAAGCGGAAAGTACCCTATCCGACCTCCAAATGAAGTAACAGCGAGCTACAGAAAGTCCCGGCCAGATCGCTACACAAATACAGGGCTTGTTAACGAGTACGTACTTGTGTATAAAATACTATGCATATTGATGAAATTGAATTCAAGGTATTGAATTTTAATTCCACGAGTACACAGATCTGAAGTTAAAATGTACACACAATATAGGATTATATAATGTTCTTGGAAATGTGTGGTACATTGAAAATTTGACGATGCGAGTAATAATTATTATAGAATATAAATATATGAATCACGATTATTTTCGTTCCGAGAAATGTAAGTTCATCAGGGTTGTATATTATTTTTGTTGCCTGTTTATTATTTTTAACATAATAATATATTATCATCGGTACCTACCCATGTACAACTATAAGTAATCACATTAATCACAAGTATATACGCCGTACACTTGTTGCAGACAAGGTGAAGTTTGGGCGATGTTACGAAATAAGCTAACGCCGGAACTTACTAGTCCTAGGACAATACGACGTTTCTTGCCAGAAGTTAACCAGCTAGCAGACGATTTTAATAACTTGATTTCCCAAGCGAGAGGCAGCAATAACGTGGTCAGAGGATTCGAGTCGTATTGTAACAGAATGGGTTTGGAAAGTATGTGTGATACTGTGATCGCAGGTGGCAGTCGTTGTTTAATAAAAAATTTAATAAGTGCGATTTCCATGACATGTTGTGTCCACCGTAGGCACGTGTACGTTGATTTTGGGAAGGAGATTTGGATTTTTGGACGGAGAGGTTAGTGAAACAGCTACGAGGCTGGCAGATTCCGTGACCAGTCAGTTTCGAGCGTCGCAGGAAGCGTTCTACGGGCTTCCGCTCTGGAAATTAATACCGACCAAGGCGTACAAGGAATTCGTAGCGAGCGAAGACGCCTTATACGAGCAAGTACAACTTGTAGAAAAGTCAAACGTGTATATTTTGGGATCCACATAAACACGTTATGAATTTTTATAGAATCGTGTCCGATATCGTAGACTCGGCGTTGGTCGACGAGGAGCAGTCTTGCACGGACGTGCGCAGCGTGTTCGTGTCTATACTTCAGGCTTCAGAATTGGACAACAGAGACAAGAAAGCCGCGATTATCGATTACATCGCCGCCGGAATAAAAACGGTAATATTCATTATATGGCGTAGATACTATAATTATTTACAAATTTACAATCATCTATTTTACTCTAAAGCAGTGTTATAATGAACGATAATGGTAATAATAATAATAGTTTATTTCGTGTGCTGCAGTAGCCGAGTGCAGTCATTAATAATAATTATTAATGTAGTACTAGAATTCTAACAAACGGTGAAACAAAAACAGTGCATTGTAATTTATATAGTGTTATACCGCGGCGTATCTCAAATTGTAACAAGTACGCCATATCGTCATGTAAAAATCCCCCAGAAATGAGAACGTAGAAAAAAATCTAAATAGGTACGATAACACAATACTTTGTACATATCTATTTCTATTATTATCTTAATAAGTTTTGACATATTTTATTCATTATAATTGAATAATACATTAAAAACCATTTATACTAATTTCACTCTTCGTTGCCCTCCCTGCCCAAAAGTCTTGCTTGGTAACATTCCAATCCTTCCATCTCAATCGGTGAAGTACTTAGGTCTAATCTTTGACCGTCGTCTTACCTGGGGACTACATATCAGAACTAAAAAACTCGCCCTAAATGAGTGACTACCCTCAATTAAAACACTAATATCTAACAAACACACCAAACCAGACAACAAACTTCTCATGTATTATGTATATCAGCGGTTCCCAAACTTTTTCCCATCATGGCACATTATTATTAGTTTTTTTAAGTCATGGCACACTTTGGATAAATATTATATACTTATCGAATAATATTTATATAATGATGTCGGGTATTATTATCGTTATTATTATCTTATATAGATATATCACAGAACTAGAATTGAACTATTATGCAAACAACATCAAGCACACATTTCACATTAAAATTTATAATTATACCTTTTTTTTTGTAATTTTAAAGTTAATTTTTGTATTAATTATTTTTATTTGTATTATATATTTTAATATTTTGAAAAAAATCATTTTAAAAAAGTTCAAGTAGTCGCGGCACACCTCTAAAATTTCATGGCACACCCTTTGGGAAACACTGATGTATATAAATCTTTAATCAAACTCATGTGGACTTATGGCCTACAACTATGGGGAAATGCAAAAAAATCTAATGTTAACAAAATTCAAACCGTTCAAAATAAAACCTTACGCATAATCACTAACGCCCTATCATATACGTCTCCAACTATATTCTGTACACAGACTTAAGTATAAAAACAGTTCGCGCTGAAGCAGTAGCACGATTTCATAGCACACTTCCAGCTCATCCCAATCCCCTTACATCAAATTTAGCTTCTTGTAGGTACAATTCCGGGCAATCCCACACGGTGTCTGAAAAGAAATTGGAGTAGAGATTTACTCAATGATTAATTAAACAATTTAATATTTAAAAAAAAATGGACAAACAATAAGTAGTGTTTTCACTGGATGGCTCTTCTCTCACGCTTTTTCATGTTCGAAATCTCTCAATTATCACATATTCTTACTCTGCCTAAGGGTACAGATTGTGTATTTCTTGTTAAAAAAAAACCTCAATTTGAGATGACATTTTCGGGCGTCAATGTTTTCCACAGTGATGCATGATTGCGATTTCTTAGTTGATCGTTATTTATTTCTTTTATCTGCTTCACAACATTTTAATTCAAACTTTTAACTATTAGATTTTGGTTACCAAAAGATACAGTTAATGTTAAATACTTGTGAATGTGTATGCATTTTTATAGTAAAAGTATTTATATATGGGGGGGAGGTGTATTTAACAATTTATTTTTGTAGTACAGTATTTCTGATAGGTGAAATTAACGCGTTCGAAAAGAATTGTTATTGTAAAATATGGTAAGAAATTGAAGGACATCATACCTTTAGGAAAATCAATGAAATGCTCGAATATTTTGTAAAATAATCATAACATTAATACTTTTCACATTGATGTATTATGCATATGAATCATATATGTAATGTATTTCATAGACGTTCCGTGAACTAGCGTTCTAAGAATATTACGTCTACATTTAAGTAGCTAGCCCGTGTCCTTTACGAATTTAAGAAGTGCAGAGTTCTGCTTTATGAATTTACCTTTGCACCACAATAAACTGACGTTGATTAATATCTGCAAAAGAATTAATAAATGTGAAAATGTCATACAATTTTTTTACTCACATTTTTTAGTTGGGGAATACTCTGGTGTTTTTATTGTACTTGATCGCCAAACATCCGGAAGTACAGGAAAAAATATACAACGAGGTATCACGGTTGGCTCCTGCGGGTACACCTATTACCGCTGAACATTTACACAAGGCCACATATTTGAACGCGTGTATAACCGAAGCGCACAGGTAATAGCGTTAATATTATGATAAAAAACAATTAGTTATTGATTTGCTTATTGATTCGTATCGCGTTCTCCAGGCTTACGCCCACTGCTCCGTGTATTGCAAGAGTGTTGGAATCGGAAATGGAATACGACAATTACCGATTGCCACCAGGGGTAATACTTGGTGACATGTTTTTTTAAAAAATATTTATAATTTTATGAGTATACAAATAATCTTTTTACTTTAGACCGTCGTGTTGTTGCACACGGGGTTGGCGTGTTTGGATGAAAACAATTTCAAAGACGCAACTTCATACAGACCAGAAAGATGGTTGGACGAGTTGACGAAAAAATCACCATTTTTGGTCGCACCGTTCGGTTGTGGCAAACGAATGTGTCCTGGGAAGCGATTCATAGAACTAGAACTCCAAATTGTCTTGGCTAAGGTCAGCAAAATATAATCTTTACACAGAGTCGAAAATAACAACTAATAAATTATAACTTTGTTTACAGATGGTCAAGCAATTTCAAATCGACTTTGAAGGACAGCTGAAAACCGAATTTGAATTTCTTTTGACACCCATTGACTCGAATTTTATTCTACGAGATAGAATTTGTTGATGTTATTAAATTAAAACTGTTATGGTTTAATACTGTACCTACTTACCTATTTTAAATAATAATTTATATTTTACTATTCAAATATTTATTTTATAGACAAAGTTAAACATATCACATTCTACCTATACATATTTTTTAAGCTATGATTTAGTGTATATTATATATTATAATATTAAAAACCACACATTTTTGTATAAGTGACCGCGCGTGTGTGTGTTTTTTTGATAATTATAACAAAAATACATATTCATATTTATGTTTATTAATTCGTTTTCATTTCCTCCTTCAAATGCAGGTAAGTAATTTATTTTTGTAATAATCTTTTGTCAGTTCTATCTTCTAATTATTTCTCAAAGCCTATTTATAATGTACACGTCATGTTACATTGCACAAATTTCAAATTTTTATTCTTCAACAAATACATATTGGTATTATTTATAGTAAAAATATATAATTATACATCAATAATATTTAATGATCGGTCATATTATTAAATTGTTATGATACGAATTTAATTTATTAAAATATAATAATTTGTGTTAATATTTGCTATTTGTTGTTTATAAAGTATAATAATAAAACAATAATAGTTATTGTAACAAAGAATTTTGGACTATCTTTCACTGAATCAAATGTTATCCATTGGATTATAATATAGTTGTGAATTATAATTGAATCATCACATTTCTTAATTATTATTAATATTATCATGAATAACGTTTATTTATGAAAAACACAATCTAATTAATATTATAATATTGTATATATATTTATAATATATTATATAATACGAGACCACTTCGGCACACGTAGGTAGGTATATTATGTAGCAAACCGAAGTATTACTATTATACATTTTGTAAAGTAAACAAAAATATAGTTACACCTATGTGGTGGGACTTCGTGATGATATAGAAAAATAATGTAAGATAAGCCACCCACTGGGCATACATATTATCACATAATAAATCATAAATGTACCTATATTATATCAATGTATATCAAAGCCTTAAGAGTACTTGGCATTTTAAAAAGGAATTATGCTGAATTTTCATCAGACATAAATTGTCTTGTTGCTTACTGCACTCTATCATGCATTGGTAGAGGTCTATTTTAGAATTTGGGTTTTTAGTTTGGACCCCATCTCAGTCTCGTACTCTCGTTTAATTGATATAGGCTTGAGAAACAACATAGCCGTTTCGCATACATATGTTTGGTTATGCATTAGGCTTTATTGATACGTCCACCTCAGATATTTCTAATCACATTGGTCTAGTATGGTTAACTACTCGTCGGAAGTACTCTGAAGTAATGTTCATGCGCAAGTTAATAAACGCTGCGATTGATTGTTTTTGAGAGTTTTCATCACAAATTGGTTTTAGAGTCCTTGCTTTTTATTCTAGATTTAAATCCAGTTTTGTGTTCCACTTAGTTCTGAGAGTTATGTAAATAACAGTCAGATGCCGCTTGCCTAAGTCATGTAACAAATTAGTCAACTTTGATTTTAATTTCGATCCAATAACCAAATTGAAAATGTAGGTATTTAATTAATTTTAGATGGTTAGTTGACGGGCCGAGGCTTTCAGAAATATCAGGATTTGTACGTTAGTCAATATTATGGCTACAATATGCGTTTTGTCGAAGATGAGCTTTATTGCGCTCTTCCAAACGTACTGACCTGGGAAGTCGGCGGCGGCGGTGTATACACTTATTACGGCTTGTATACGACGAGAACGCCTGCGCGCACATAGACGGCCCGAAGATGACCGTTAAATTCCGCTCGTTTCAACTTCTCGAACTTCGAAGGCTTTCACAAATAATCCATATTCAGCACTCACAGATACCACACGAACAGAGCTCCGGTGAATAATTGGACTACCCGGAAGTACTCCGAGTTCCTAGACCGCATTAATATAATATACGATCGATAAAGCCATTTTTTTTAGATACTATTAAAAACCTTAAATGTAACAAGTAAAATAGTGTTATTGACTATAATATCAAATAGCTAGAATATGAGTACAATGAGGAATGATAATTTTATCACATAATATGCCTATATTATACAATAATACCAATATTTTGAAGTCAACAGATATAAATATGCTTCTCTTAAAATGTAATATATACTTTTAATCCGATGAAAACAAACCATTAAAAATCTTTTTACTCTTTACAGTCTACAATAAACGTGTTCCTAGTAACCCGCAGCCCATATTGTAACGTTTAAAAAAATCAATCTGTTTGGTGATCTGTTTTTTAGACTATGCAATGTTTTATCAAAGTATTATATGATTATAAATAAAAATATATTGTAAAGTGTTAAATCAACTTTCGGTTATGATTTACTAATAATATAATACTGATTATTAAGTAGGTAGGTATTTGTTGATAACAACATATTGACTATTTATTTAGTAATTTGTACATACATAATATTTAGGATCTAATGAGTAGATTTTAGTCTAGTTACTATCTAGACTAGTTAATTAGTAGTTATCTATCTAATAATCTAAAATAGATTAGTAGAATTTTAAGTACCTTCACGTTTTACATGAATGATAATAATTTAAATGTTGATTTTACCCTTTAGTGCGTCATCTGCAGATGTGGATAGGTATATATTATAAAAATATTTTTCACGCTGCCTGTAATCATATTAATTTGTTACAATTTTTTCAAATAAAAAAATCAAAATTATTTCATATAGAATTTTTAATCCGACTTTATTGAATCATTTGTATATATATCGTATATCATTCACAAGCTGATTAAGTGATAACCATGGTGGATATTTGATTCGCACCTACCCAAATTTTAAAGAACAATCTTGGTTACCGTGCAGAGTAGGTATCTCGACTGTGGTTTTCTCCGCTTCCGCCACGCCGTACGATTCTCAATCAAACTGTTTTTGCATCACTTTTCGCGGGAGAGTAAATAGTGTTGTAGCTGTCAGGCGCGTAACCAATATTTTTAGGGGGGGGGGGGTAATTTAATATTTTAATACAACTTGTGGGAGCGGCGTTCACACATCTATTATATTTTTTGATTATGCAGCCGAGGAGTGATGATTGAACACCCAAAACCCCCCCCCCCCCTCGGTACTCCACTGTCAACTGGTAGAAATAATACTGTAATATAGTATATAATATATATATATATATATATATATACACTATACACAATATGGTACAACACCAATTTATTGTTCATTTAACCAACGTAGGATTATGTATTTTTTGCTATAATGGGGATCCATCATCTTTTGAAATATAAGTAATTTTAATTACTGTATTGTATTATTATATATGTTAAATGTTAATTTGTTATATATAATGAATTATACTTACGTCTAATATTAGATTTGCCGTTTACCAGTTTTCAATAATAAATATAACATATACATAGGACCTTAGGAGTACCAAAAACGGGTATTTAAGAGGTGCTATGAGGTAAGACGATAACCCTAGGTGGAACTTTTTAGTGATTTTTATAATACAATGGTGTATTTTTACATTTTTATAACAAATATTTTATTCTATTGTTGTCATAAAAATGTTTCATTTATCCCTAATTTACACTGTCGCACTATTAATGTGATGTTGAATTGTAAATCGTGATGTTCTGAGGTCTGTGTTCTTTGGTTATAAAACCTGTTTAATTATTTTATATTAAATTCGTTTAGCCTATCTTATCATAATATATAAGTGTATAACATATTAATATATTCCTATACTATAAATTTACAGTAAGAATTTGATGTTCATTAGGATAAGTGTGACGACAAAAAAATAACACTGCAGCGGTGTGATGAAAATTATGAATAAACTCGTGGTTATAGAAAATACATACTGTAGTGGACTATAAGTGCATGTGCAGTTTTTTCATCGTTACATTTTGTACACAATTTTAGATTATAAACTACGATTTCCCTTTCTCTATTTTATATTATAGTATATTCTCGTTTTATAATAAATTCGATGGAAACAACAACCATAGTTAGGGCATGTGTTCGTACAACCCCACATCTAACATAAAGCACTTTCGCCCCAATCATCATAAAGAGAAAAAATCAACAACAGTATAGCAGACGGAGGGTGCATTGTATACACTATAGTAGGTATTATACATACGAGGGAAACATTCCAAGCCCCCGAGCGTTTTCTGAAACACGTAGTTTGAATAGTTTTCATTTATGCTATAGAAATATTTTTTGTACACTGTACAGTGTACAGTTTACTTGAAACAAAAGGGACCCAGCTTAAACTATTCAGAATTGTTAAAATCAATTCGATTCATAAGGTATATAATATATACACTGGAGTAAGTGCTAACACCGTAATGAATACTTAATGTATACAGTATAGGTATATCTACCTCTGTAGATATCAATTTTGAAATAAAATCTTTTAAAATTATAATACTTTTATATTCGAAATTTAATTATATAGATATGAATACCTATATGCACCTTGGCTCAAGCCTTCGCATAAACGAGTTTAAAAGTTGAAATTAAGTTATTTTTAACTTAACTTTTTTTAATTTAATTTTTAGATTAACTGATTTTTGTTGGTATAAACTTTCAAATCCAAGTTAGTCTAATCAGAGCAAGTCAATCTAAGTTTACTTTAATTTATAAATGATTAAATAATAAATAAAACAAAATAATTATTGATGGTATATATGTATTATTTATACATATTGTATAAACATTTACTTTTTATAGTTTTAAACAATATTAATGGCTATTTATGACTTATGTATTAAAATAGAAAATAAAAATAAAAACTTAACTCAAGTTAATAAGTTAATTGTAATTTTCCATATAACTTTTAACACTTAGCTGAGCAAATAGGATAACCAATAACATATTAATATTCAAAATGTTTTATATCAACTTACCTCAGTTAAACATGATCATTACTTGCCCAGGATTGCAGCTTTAAAGAAAACCGTTCATCCCTGTCGATCGATGAAAAAAAAGGTCGTCTCGGAAATTATGTAAATTAAAGTCAATTAAATGTAAATGCAAATCTCAGTTTAAAATTTTAAAATTCTGTATAAATCTAGATTTTAAAAAAAGAATGAAAGTCAAAAATGTCTTACAAATTTTATAATATTAAAAAAATTGATTTTGTGGAAAAATGTTGGAAAAAGATTTTGTTGTTTAGTTGAGACGCTTGCGAATACGAAATGAACTAAGTAAATAACTTTAAATAAATGTAAATGTCATTCACTATGTCAGCGTTTCCCAAAGTGTTAAGTCCCAAACCTTAGGGTTCCGTGGGACAATGTCAAGGGTTCCGCCAGATGTATGAGATTATTGAGAAAATTATGTTCGTTTA